ACAATATCAATAACAATAACAATAACAATAACAAAAAAACAGGGCACGTGGAGCGCTGCTTTCTGGCCAGCCGGCGGGCAGTGGTCACTGCTTGGTCCGGGTCGAGAGGCGACAGTGGGGCCGGCGCTGGGCGCGGCAGGCCCCGCCACCAATAACAGGCGGTCCGTGCGGCCCACCCCGCCCAAAGGCAGCAGGCACGCCGAAACCATGGGCCCTGGCGGCCAAGAGTAGACCGCGGGCACGGCCCGGCGCAGAACGCCCAGCGGCAGCAAGAACCCAGCGGGCCGCCGCCAAAAGCACCTGGCCTGGAGGTATCGTGGCATCGTGCCCCCGGCAGCAGACGGCGCGCACCGGCCCCAGGGCCTCGCACTCACGGCATGCCCGTCCACCAACCATGGCTCGCCCCACCATCTACGCCCTCTCGACCAAACCGGGCCGCGCGGCCCTCGGCGTGATCCGCGTGTCGGGCCCCGGCGCCAGCCACGTCTTCCGGCAGCTCACCAAAAGCCCGCGGCAGCCGCAGCACCGCATGGCCAGCGTACGCTCGCTCTACGGCCGCAAGGGCCTTCTAGACCACGCGTTGACGCTCTTCTTCCAGGGCCCGCGGTCGTACACGGGCGAGGACGTGCTCGAGTTGCACGTGCACGGCGGCACGGCCATCGTCAAGGCAGTCATGGACGCGGTGGGCCACAGCCACCGCCCCGCCGAGGGCATCCACGTGCGGTACGCGGAGCAGGGCGAGTTTTCCAGGCGTGCGTTCCTCAACGGCCGCTTCGACCTCACGGAGATCGAGGGCATCCGCGAGATGATCGACGCGGAGACCGAGTCGCAGCGCGTGGGCGCGTTGGCCTCGCTCACGGGCTCGACCCTGGCGTTGATGCAGCGCTGGCGCCACGACATCGTGCGCAACGTGGCGCTCCTCACCACGGTGATCGACTTTGGCGAGGAGCACGACCTCGAGGACACGCAGCGGCTCTTTGGCGACGTCGGGCGCAGCATCGACGCGTTGGCCGCGGACATCCGCGGCTACCTCCGCAAGGTGCGCGGCTCCGAGGTGCTCATGCGCGGCATCAAGGTCACGCTCGTGGGGCCGCCCAACGCGGGCAAGCTGTCGCTCCTCAACTGCTTGGCGCACAGCGACGTGGCCATCGTGTCGGACATTGCCGGCACCACGCGTGACGTCATCGACGTGCCGCTCGACATCGAGGGCTACAAGATCGTGGTGGGCGACACCGCGGGCATCCGCGCCCTGCTGGACGCGGGCCTCATCGAGAAGGAGGGCATCCGCCGCGCCAAGCAAAAGGCGCTCGTGGGCGACATGGTCTTGGTCGTGGCGCCCGTCGACGAGCCGCTCGCGCGCGACATCCTCGACCACGTGGCGTTGCTCCACGAGGCCAAGCGCCACGTGGTGGCCGTGGTCAACAAGGTGGACTTGGCGTCCGGCCCCGCGCTCGCCGCCGCGCGCGAGAAGCTCGCGGCGCAGCTCCGCATCCCGCCGGCCAGCGTCTTTGCCGTGTCCTGTCTCACTGGCGAGGGCATGGCCCCGCTCCGCGCCGAGCTCGTCCTGCTGTTCAAGCGCGTGTCCATGACCACGAGCTCGGACCCGGTGGTCATCTCGGCACGCGCCCAGGACTTGCTCGAGCACGACGTGCTCTACGGGCTTGAGCAGTTCCAGGTCTGGAAGGACGCGGACGACGTCGTGTTGGCGTCCGAGTGCCTCCGCCAGTCCGTGGACGGGATCGGCAAGATCACGGGCGAGGCCGTGGGCGTGGAGGAGATCTTGGGCGTCGTGTTCTCCAGCTTCTGTATAGGCAAGTAGCGGCGCGGCGCTTCCAACGTGGTCTGTTTCTGTATTTCCGGCCCGGGGCCTGGTGGTCGTATACACTGGCCGGGGCCTGGTCTTCGTATACCCTGTAAGCCCTGGCCCGGGCCTAGTATTCGAATACACTGTAAGCCGTGCCCGTGTATACGCGGGAACCCAGTCCCTAGTACAGCAGGGACACCCGGTCCGGTGCATCGCCGCGGCGCGCCCAGCGCCAAAACACGGCCCGCGACGCATCCTTGCCACGCCTGTGAGACCCGTCTCAGCCGTTTGGAGGGGGACCCCGGCCGCCTCACGAGCTGTGCGACACGACAAAGAGCGTGAACTTCTCCACGTCCCAGTTGAGCTTGATCTGCTGCATCTGGTGCCTCGTGTGGCGGCCGGCCATCTCGGCCGGCTCCTCCGCAACGCTCTTCTTCTTCAAGCTCTTGGACAAGCTTGGCGAGAGCCTCAACTCAAAGTTGATCATGTTGAGCCCGTAGTTGAGCTTCAATTCGTACGTCAAGTTGAGCAGCTTCGTCCTGCTGTCGCGTGCGTCCGTCTCCTCGGTCATCTCGCACCCGTTGTCAATCTCCTCCTCGTTGAGGTGCAACGAGCACATGAAGTCCTCCTCGGCCTTGCCTTTTAGAAGCCCTTGCCCGTCGACCAAGTCGTCGCGCTTGATGTTGTAGATGAGCTCGTGCAACGCCACCCGGAAGTTGACCACCGGCGTGGCCTCGCGGGGTAGCGTGATGCTGTACGCCTTCGTGGAGTACCCGAGGGGCTCGAAGTGGTACTCGAAGAAAGTGGCCGTGTTCAAGAGCGGGGCCTCCGGGTAGAGCGCCCTGGTGAAAAGCTGCGGCTTCATGAGCTGCTGCTGCGGCTGCGACGCCAACGTGTCCAAGATCGGCGACGCGGCGCTCAGCGACGACGAGAACGCCACGCGCCGGATGAACACGTCGTCGCTGGAGGGAATGGTCTTCAGCTTGCCCATGGCGCACAGCTCCAGCGGCGCAAGCGCCTCGGCGTCCGCGTTCTCGCCGCCGCCGTCGTCTGCCGCTTCGTCCACAATGCCCTGCTCCGCCTTGAGCCGCGCAGCCTCGAGCGCCGCCAAGCGCTGCTCCTCCTCAATGAGCTTCTTGGGCTTTCTGCCCCGTCTTTTCTTGGGCGGGTCGCCCGGGTTGAGCGCGGCCGCGGCCGCGGCGGCGGGCGCGGCAGCCGGCGGCTTGCCCTTCAAGCTCAACTTGAGCCGGACGGGCTCCTTGGGCGCTTTCACAGAGAGTTTCAAGCCCGCGCCGTCGCCCCCGAGCTCGTTCTGGAGCGCGGCGAAGCGCTCCGAGAACAACAGCCGCAACTTCTCCGCGTCCTCGTGGATGAGCGAGGACGGGTCGTTGTACGCCTGCGCGTTGGCGAAAATCAACATCGTGGCGTCGTGGAAGGCGGCCAAGTTCTCTGCGAGCAGCTTGGCGCTGCTGAAAAGCGCGCCCAGAGCCACCTTGGCCCGCACGTCCGTGAACGACGTGGGCCGCTCGATGACCTTGAAGTAGTCGGGGTACTCCTGCGGGTCCACGTCGTCCAAAAACGGCCCGCTGAGCTGGCCCTCGCCGGGGAACTCATGGCCAATCACCTCGTCCAACACGTCGCCACAGATCCTCGGCAACTCGGCCGCGGGCGGCGCCGGCGGCGCGGCCAAGCCCGCGTGCGGCGCGTGCGTTTGCACGTGCGCCAGCAACCTGGCGGCGTCCTCGACGATCCACGAGTCGGGGTCATTGTACTTGACGGCGTTAGCGTGCATGAGCCCGAAGTCGGCCACGAGCTCGTCGGCCGTCGCGTACGCGTCCCGCGCCACTTTCTTCAGGATCTCGTTGAGCGAGATGGGCGTGTCGATGAGCTCGTAGTAGTCGGGGTACAATTTTTTCAGGGGCAACTTGACAAAGGCTGTGACCAAGAGCCGGGAGCCGGCGGCGTCCTGCAACAGGTCCAAGGAGTCGAGGAACTCGCGGAACGGCTGCGGCAGGAGCTTGGCTTTTTTGTCTGCGTGGCCTTCGGACAGCGCTGGTCTGGTAGCACGGCGCATTTCTGGCGGAAGGAGCAGGTTGGGGGCGTTATCGGTGTTTACAGTTGAGCTTTGATGGAGCGGGCCGTGCTTGTTTTTTTCGCTGGCCGGTCCGTACAGGCCCAGTGCGGCTCCACGGCGCTCGGGCCTGGCTGTGAGCAGTGCAGGCTAATGGCATGGGGAACGGGAGCCATAGAAACACGAATCTGTCATATTAAATATGAGTTTGTGGGTGTATTGTGATAGTATGGGTGGGGCGACCCGTGTGGCTGCATATTTATGTCGGGGCCTGTTTCTATAAAAGGTGGGTTTGGGGTGGTTCGTTTACTAGTATACTACACTTTTTTATTCAGTGAAGTGTTTGGGTGAATTTTCGTTTTATTTTTTTTTGGAAACTGCTGGGAAAAATACAATGGCTTTTTTTAAGAAAAAAAGGATTGGATCGCCGGACGCGGCCCAGTCACTCAGATATACACAAAGCACGTATCGAGTCATGATAAAAGCATGGATAGAAAGTTAGTAAACTGTTGAATTAGACATTTGGATTGGTGAGTCTGGTGAATGAATCTTGCAGAGCACGCAGACGAGCCGGGGAGAGATAGGCCGCTCGGCAGAAACTCGCCTGGCCCGTCTGGGGTCTCCTGTATTTTCAGTGCGGCCCGCGGGGCCGGATACTACGTGCTTCTTGCGACTGAACGCTATGGAAGGCTGCTTTCTTCTTGCCTACTTTTTTTCTTTGTCTGTGTCGCTTATTTTTCTTTGTCTGTGTTGCTTTTTTTTCTTTGTCTGTGTTGCTTTTTTTTCGTTGTCTGTTTCTGTTTATTGTTTAGTCTCTCTTCCTCTTCTTTTTGTCTTCCCCTTTCCTGCCTTGCGAAAGCATTGTTTGATGCCTGTGCCGGCTGATGGCGGCCCAGCAATTCCAGTTTATTCGATCGCGCACCTGCCCTGTGAACGCGCTCCGCGGGCCGCTATAATAGTTTTGTCTTATTGCTCCACTGTGCAAATGTAACACACCCTTGAGAGGCAGAAAATCTTGCGCCTTCACTTGTCTGACGACACAGGGAGAACCTGGATTCTTTGCTATGCACATACAGTTCTGGTCAGCCCGTGATGATAAAGTTGGAAGTTGTTGCCTGGCTTCCAGCATGCACAGCGTAGCGAGCGGTCGACTAGTGATGGTTTGCAGCCGAGCGCAGCCAGCGTCTTCCCCTCCAGACCATCCACGCCGACATTGATTTGCTTTGCCGTACGTTGCTGTTTTCGTTAAGGTCTCTTGGAGGAAAGCCTCCGTTTTGGAAAAAAGATATTCCAAACTTGGACAGATATTAGTAAGAAGAGATTAGTTCAGACGAACTCGAAAAAGTTAGGAAGAAAAAAATAAGCTGCTTTAATTTATGAGTGTATGTTTTCATTCTTAACCAGGGATTTCATGATGTGCGCTCGCTTCTCTGGTGACTAATGAAACTTCTGCCTCAACGCATGGATTCCACAGACTTCTCGAAACATTCGAGCATCACATAGAAAATAGCCACAATACGCCGCGTGCTTTGATCGACCTTTCTTCATTTCACAAAACCGATAGAAACCCCCATATAAAACCAATATGAAAACCCATACAAACACCCTATATAAAACCAATACGAAAACCCATACAAACACCCTATACAAAAACCCATACAGAAACTCATACAAAGACCCATATAAAGACCCATACAAAAACACATACAAAGACCTATATAAAAACCCATAGAAAAACCCATGTAAAACCCCTATATAAAACCACGCGGTACTTCCAATCTCGCCGCGATCCAAAATCGCCTCCAACGCTAGGGCCGCGGCATCGCGGCTCATGGCCAGTTTGCTCTGGTCCACCGCACCCAATAATCTGGACTAACTTTCTTGTTCTGCTCCATCCGACTGGTTCGGAAACCACGAGCAATTTCCCGAATGAATACGCAGCCTCCACATCTGGAAAATACCAAAAAAAGCCAATCCGTTTTTGACCTGAAAGAATGTCCCAACAGCTCCAGATCTGAGCCCGGGCCTGGAAGTTCGCGCCCCGATTTCGGCCCCAAAATCCATACTTAGTCAGCCTTCCTCCATAGTGCAGACCCACCCAAGACCACCAAGTCTAGCACGCATCGCTCCAGCATATCCAGGCTCACCAAGATTCGTCCCAAGGACATACACTCTTTTAAGTCTCGTCCCTTCACCCAATGTCGCCGGTATCTAGTGTCACGATCCTATATGGCAGTGAGACGGGCAATGCCCAGGACTACGCGTACTATCTTGCACGCAGACTCAGCTACTTCTCGCTAAATCCAACGGTGTCGTCCTTAAATGACTACCCGTTGAAGAATTTGGTCACAGAAACGCGCTTCTTGATCGTGGTGTGTTCCACCACAGGCCAGGGCGAGGTGCCCAGAAACGGCAAGAAGTTCTTGAAGTTCTTGCTCAAGAAAAAGCTCCCGCACGATCTCTTGAACCACGTGAGCATGACGTCCTTCGGCGTGGGCGACTCGCTGTACCCGAAATTCAACCACGCCATCAAAAAACTACACACTCGCTTGCTTCAACTTGGCTGTTCGGAACTCTGTCCCAGATGCGAAAGTGACGAGATGTCGCCGGAGGGCGTTGACGGTTTTTACAGTGAGTGGGTCGCCACGTTGATCCCGGCGCTTTGCCGCCATTTCCCGGACCTAGCACAGATTGATGACCATACCCTTCTTCCGCCCACTATGCCCGTCGAGGTGAGTGCCGGAAAACCCGCCGTGATCTCGGAAACTACCAATCTCAGTTTGACGCGCACGTCCCCCGAGTTGAAGATCGGCACGCTTGTCAGCAACCGCCGTGTGACCGCCCCGGGCCATTTCCAGGACGTCAGGCACTTGGTCATTGAGTGCGATACGGCGGATTTGACCTATGTGCCTGGCGACACTTTGGCATTGTACCCGCAAAACGACACGCGCAGCGTTCAGCTCCTTCTCGAGCTGCAACCGCATTGGCTTGAAATTGCAGATAAGCCGCTCCACATTGCCAAGCCCCCGGCACTTGAAGGCGGCTTGATCGGCCTCGAGCACCTCACTTTGCGCTCGCTCATCACATACCACTTAGACATTCTGTCGATTCCTCGCCGCTCCTTCTTTGCCGTGCTCTTTCATTTCGTAGACGGCCTGACAGAAATGGGCCAGCGAGAGAGAGAAAAGCTCGAGGAGTTCACAAAATTAGACGAGAGCGAGGAGCTCTACAACTACGCGAATCGGCCCAGACGGCTGATCTTGGAAACCATCCAGGAGTTCCAGGACAACTTGAAGATTCCGGTCGAGTACGTGCTCGATCTATTCCCATTGATCAAAGTCCGCCTTTTCCTGATTGCCTCGCGGCCGTCGCCCAAACTGGTCGAGTTGATCATAGGAATTGTCGAGTATCGAACCATGCTCAGACGTATCCGCAAAGGGCTATGCACTAAATGGATCAAGGGAGCCGACGTGGGGGAGAAACTCGTGTTTTCGATCCACAAGTCGAACCTCAAGTTCCAAACACCCGAAGACTTCCTGCCTCCTGTGTTGATGGTGGCCCCTGGTACGGGCATTGCCCCCATGAAACTGTTGATCGAACATACTGCGGGACAACAAGATTTACATCTTTTCTACGGATTCAGAGACTCCACCAAAGACTGCTTGTTTTCCGAAACATGGGCTGAATTGGAGAAAAAGGGTCAATTATCCCTCTACTATGCGATTTCAAGAGAGGCAGGTTTTCCACACAAGTATGTGCAAGATCGCTTGTTCGCAGAAAAAGATACCGTTTCACGCCTTCTCCTAAAAGAAAACGCCATATTCTTCCTCTGCGGATCCAGCGGGAAAATGCCCACCCAAGTGCGTTTGACCTTAGTGGAGATACTTCGTCCCCACGTGGAAAACCCAGAGCAGTTCTTGATTGATATGGAGAATGAAGGCAGATACATCCAGGAGACGTGGTGAAGCGATATATCCAGGAGACGAAGCGCGACAGGTTCGTTGTCTGGTGGTTTTGGAAGCTTCGGTATTGGAGCGTCCTGCATGGTGCCCTCGCCGTGGCCGTGGTTCGATGCTCCAGAATCAGTTTGCGTGTATCCATAGGTTCAACTCAGACGCAGGTATGATATCTCTAACAAGACTATCCGGAAATCCAGGGGCCAGATCCATTGCCATCGGAGTCTGCGCGCACAAATTTGCCAGACTATATGCTAATTACCCGCCTCTGATCACCGTGGATGGGAAAGCCTATGAGACGGACGAATGGACGAATGTGCCGAAACTGATTCTTGCGCTCACTGACCGCCAATTACACCAGAAACCCAACCACCCAATTGGCATCCTCCGAGAGTTGATTCAGAATAATTTCAAGGGGCTAGGTTATACTTTTTACAACGATTTCCGCCCCACTGTCACGACATACCAAAACTTCGATGTACTTGAATTTCCAGCAGACCATCCCGGTAGATCCAAACTGGACACCTATTATTTGAACAAGGGGCATCTTCTCAGGACACACACTTCTGCACACGAACATGAATGCTTTCAGATCTGCGAGACTCCAGGATACTTCATCACAGCAGACGTTTATAGAAGGGACGAAATCGACCGCACCCATTACCCCGCTTTCCACCAGATGGAGGGTGCTAGGCTTTGGTCTAAACAAAATCCAGAATTGTTGAAAGAGTTGCAGAATGATATCGACTCTATCCCCAATACGAACATCATTGTCGAGGACCCATTCCGCGAGAACCCTTCCAATGCGGAAAACCCAAAGCAACAGTATATGACCGATCCGGAAGTCAGGCTCGTGGCCACTCATTTGAAGAAGACCGTCGAGTATATGGTGAACTTGGTTTTTGAGAAGGCTCGTGAGTCCGCGTTGAAAGCAGGTTCAAAGGAAGAATACTTGAATGAGCCATTGAAAGTCAGATGGGTCGAGGCTTACTTTCCCTGGACGTCTCCCTCATGGGAGATCGAGGTCTGGTGGAAGGGTGAGTGGCTAGAATGCTGTGGATGTGGAGTTGTCCAACAGCAAATCTTGTTGAACTCTGGACTACCAGTAGATAAGTTGGGATGGGCATTCGGTGTCGGCTTAGACAGAATCGCCATGCTCCTTTTTGGGATTCCCGACATCAGGCTCTTCTGGTCATTGGATGAAAGATTTGCCCGCCAGTTTACTCAGGGAACAATCTCCACTTTCCAGCCTTACTCCAAATACCCTGGGGTAAAAAGAGACGTGAGTTACTGGCTTCCATCCGAGTCTCCTCTTCATACAAATGATGTGATGGAAATTGTGCGCTTGCATGGAGGAGATTTGGTGGAGAGCGTTGTTCTTAAGGACGAATTTGTGCATCCAAAAACGGGACGTAAGTCACAATGCTACGGAATTCATTTCCAATCCATGGACAGAAATTTGACCAACAGCGAGGTCAATGAAATTCATAAGTTGGTCGAGAAGGACTTGATCGAAACCTACGGCGTCGAGATTCGCTAGCGTGTATATAAAGACAGGTTCGACACCGTTCTTACAAATAACTGCTCTAAAGACTAAACGCCACTGCTAAATGCGGCAAGGACCGTGTGGCTTGAAGAAGGATTGACCACGATCGAGATTTCAGCCAGAAAATAACCACATTTATCAATTTTACCTCTCTTGATCGAGTACGTTCTGCATATAACCAACTCTGGCCTGGTGAGGCACGGAAAAAAATCTGTTCCGTGAGACGTTGTTGTTGGTAGGCGACCATTTCTTGCAATAATATCTTATCGTCATGTTTGGAATGAGACTTGTTTCGAGCTGGAAGGCTGCTCAGCCATTTTCCAGACCTTTGACGCCCCTGCCGGCTGTTCAAAGCATTTTCGGCACCATCACGAAACGTTATAAGCACGAATATGCACCAAGATTCAAGCAAATCCGTAAAGCTTTCAAAGGAAGAGTCACTGTGAGAACAGGTGGATCTATCAAAGGCAACTCCTTGGAGTTTGGCCTGTATGGCTTGCGCTTGAAAAGCAACGGAATCAGAATGACGGCAACGCAGTTGAAAGAGGCAGATAAGGTGATTCAGAGAGAAATCCGTCCCTCGGGAGCTACCTGCGTGACGAGATTTGCATGCAACATTCCTGTCTGCGTGAAGGGTAACCAGACGAGAATGGGTAAAGGTAAAGGTTCGTTCGACCACTGGGCCTGCAGAGTGCCCACAGGAAAAGTTTTGTTCGAGATCAAAGGTGATGTTCACGACCGTGTGGCCAGAGAAGCCATGAGGAAAGCTGCTGACAAGTTGCCGGGGCTTTTCGAGATCATTGATGCCAACTCGAAGGTGCGTGTGAGTACCACAGATTTGATCGACAAGCCTAGTGCTGTAAACTACGTGGAGTTAATCAAGCAGAAGCCCACGAAAAAGTGGACCAACATCGAAATGTCAAAGCTTCCTGAGTTCAGATTGTTCAGAGGCCGCTAAAAGTACACGAAGGAGTTGTGGTCGACACAGACTTGTATAGGGGGCGTACGTGCTCCAATAGATCACTGGAGAATAAGGAAAATCGGACATTGAACTGTGCAGCCAACTGTAGATGACCCGAGCTGACTATGAAAATACTTTTGTTGGGGAAAATGACACACTTGGCATGCGAGTGTGTTTCGTCGTTTCAAGAGGCCTTGTGGTGAGGTTTTTGCAGGAATTTATCGATATTCGCCGAAGATGAAACGGAATGTAAAAATGAAATGGCAATATGAAATCGTGTGTAATTCATGGCATCACGCCAGCCCGGAAATTTATATTTGTCATTCGTGGTGAACAAATACCATACACAAATTCTACTGGGATACCGGCTCTTTCCCCGAACCAGGTAAATCGATCTGCAAAAATATGCAAAGTAGCGAAATCCATATGAGCGATGAAAAATTGAACATGCGAAGCCCAAACCAGAACAATTGGTTGTTCTCAAAATAATGAGTTTTTTAAACGCCTGTAAGATTTTTGTTGGTTGGGTAAGCTTAATTTGAGGCGTGCACTCAAACATGGAGCTATCAGAACTCCTCAAAATCTACACTCCTCTTTTTTCTACCCACACCATGGCACTGGCTCCAAAAGATACGGGTCGATTGGTCGCGCACGCGCTCACCCTGGCGCAGAAGGTCGTGGATGCAGACACCGAGGTTTCCACTATCGATCTTCAACTTTTGTCTAATCTCAACACCAACCAATTTCTCAACTACATTAACTTGGACCAGCAGCTTAGTACTCTAGAACAGGACACGGAGAAGTTGGCAGTGTATAAGCAAGAGGTGGTTCTGCTCACTCTGGACTTGGACCAGATTGAGAGGCAGGTGGACGCGCTAATGAATGTCACCAACGAACTCCTGTCATGGTGTAATGAGCTAGCTGCCACGAAACAAAACAAGTGACGTGGTCTCAGGCGTGAGGTTTAAATGGGCCGGAATGGAGGCCAGAATCTCGAGACTTTATATCTTGGAAGAATTGACCGCAACCTTGACTTCTTTTCATGTTTCCGACCCTTCAAGGCTCTGAGGATAGATGGAGGGGACCATCTATCTGGAGCAAAAAAGCAAAACTGAAACTCCATCGGGTTTGTCTGTGAAATTCATTTCTGGGGCTAAAGGACCATTTTTCGGCCACGTCACCGAACGGGGTTCGTATACTGAACACTTGTCATCAAGTCTACTAACCAGCGAAGTATTTATACCGCTACTACATGAACTATAGGCAAAAAGGTGCTGATACTTTTGATTGTGTCAAGACCACTATGTTGCTCCTCATTAGCACATTTAAAACCCTGCTTACACTTGTATGAATATGCACTTAATAGCTTGATATTCTTAGACAATTCTGTAGCGGCGGTCTTTGGGCCCGATTCAAAACTTACAATTTGTGAGGGATATACCCCATCCATATATCAAGCATCACTACAAATTATCTAATGGGAGCTCACACGGCGGTATTAGCGCATGTCTTCCCATGCATATTCAATTATAATGATCTACCAAAATAATTCAGGACTTACAAACACCCATATGTGCCTATGCGGACGTCCCACGAGGCAAACATCAATTGCGATATTTCCTATTCCGCGTTTTACTCATTTTTCATCAGAGCCACAAAGATGCAAAAAAAGGCAAGTACAGCCTATTGAAGATAAACTCAGGATTTTAGCACAGCTTCCAATTGAAAAAGCCGAAAGAAAATCAGGCTCAATATTAAGTTCAATTTTAGATTTGTGGGCTCCTTGAAAAGTATTTAAGAGTCAAGTTCCAGTTTACTTCAATAAAAAGCACTCTCCGGGCCGAAACTGACAAACAAACTCTCGATGCAAGCATCCGTTATTTTGCTTATATTCTTCTCACTTTCTCTGGTGAGCTGTGAAGCTGAAGACACAGAAGCCCCGAACTTGACAAAGTTTAGAGATCTTACTTTCTTCAATAACTTAGTTCATTTCATTGGGGAGACTGCGCCTGATTCCGAATCGGGCCTGGAGTGTGACAATAACTCTGACTGTGCTCATAAGTCAGGCTCGGGCAAAAAGTCGGAATATTTATTTACTCCAGGGCGCGTTCATGTCCCAGTTTCAGGGACAAAACAAGATACTTGCCAAAATCCAGGATGTTCTCACAACCCTTTCCCTGGGTATGCACAAACTCCAAGCTTCGTCCAGGCCCCGGGATATGCCCCAAACTTGGGCTATCCTCAAAACCCTGGGTATCCTCAGATCCCAAACTATCCCAATTATCCAGGCTATCCACAGTCTCCAGGTTATCCTCCAAGCTTAGGATATCCTCAACAGCCAAATTATGTTCAATCACCAAATTATGGTCCAAAGCCCGCGTATCCTCATGGCTCAGAGTACAATCAAAATCCCGCTGATGCGCCACAGCAGACACAGCCGCTTTCGCCACAAGAACGGGAACGCCGACCAAACCATATGCTTCCAGCTCCAGATGAAAGAAATAGTCTCTCAAGTGGGCCCGGATCTCAAAGGAGAAGAACGGGGGCAAACGAGAATAAACTACTCGAAAGTCGTCTCAATGGTCGTGAGGGTCAAGGAAAAAGAACCGGGGCCTCAAGAAACAAGGTGCTTCAAACAAACGCAGGAGAAAATGCAGGCCTTTCATCAACGGGAGTTGATATAGAAGTTGGCAGGGGGAAGAAAATCTCGTACGACACGGAATTTTCGCTCAGTCTCAAATGGAGACCTGCAAAGACAGCCAAAAGTATCAAAAAAATGTTTTTATACTTACCAAGAAGATTAGAGCAAACGGCTTATGAGCTGTGGGGAAATCTCCGGAGTGGCTCTTCTAAAGCATACGGAGTGGTTCGGGATCTGATGAAAGGCAGTTTACCGGAAACCATTCAGCTACCATATGATTCAAGCGGAGAACGCAATGCGGATTGTGAAGACGACAGTTGTGACAATTTGCCCTCAAATTCTCTCCGAGAAAATATCGGCGGCAGTACTGAAGATGAAAGAGGACCGATTAGAGGGTCGGTCCCGAGGGAAAGAGCCATTTCACCAACTGAAGAATTTTATGGTGAAGCTGATGCACTATCCGAAAGTGATAGTGACAGCAGCGGAAGTGACACCGAATGTGATACAGACGATGATAATGGGAGCGAAAGTGATTGGTCATTTGAAGAAGCTTGGGGACACGACTCATCTCCTAACAAGCATCAAAATTCAATAGATAACAGCCCATATTTTGTTCGACTCAGCTCGCTTGATCCTGAGATCAAGAATATTGAACCCGTTCCCGAAATATTAAACGAACAAGAGAATGGCGCACTGGAAAATTCACAGCATGAAAACGTTGAGAATCTGGCTGAATCTACAGACAGATCAGAAGTTGATTATATCGACAAATTACTTGGGGATGAGGCTATGAGTACGAATGATACCATTAATGAGAATAGTTCCACAGGCACAGAAGAGTCCATCAATACAGATGAATCCGTCAATACAGATGAATCCGTCAATACAGATGAAGCCGTCAATACAGATGAATCCGTCAATACAGATGATTCTACAAATGCGGATAGATATATGAATAGGGATAAGTCGAACCCAAAGGTGAGAGAAGGTTCGGCTAACACTAATGATCTGAGCACGAGAAACGTGAACAAGTCTTTTTCAGAGATTGATGATGATTTTCAGCGAATTGATGATCCGAACCCTCCAGATGTGACTACGAGACATAAATCTAGGATTTCTCGTCATATGAGGAAGAGACGCAAACCTACTTACGTACTTGTTGATTCCGAAATCTTGGTTAACATGGTCTGCCCTCACATGCTAAGCGACTTCAGGAGCTCGCCTCAGCAATATGGCAAAAAGATGGTGGTATCAGTGAAAGTGAGAAACACAACTGACACAACTCTGGCTGAACAAAAGGACGCGCCTCGCTTTTTTCCTGGGGATAATGTATCGAAAGCCTCCATGCTCACTAAGGAATCCATCACGCTTGGGATCTGTCTCTTTTTGTCATTTATACCATTTTAGATACACCATGCTAATTAGAAAGCTACTACTACGCAGGCTACGCGTCCCCATACTCTGCAAGATATTCACTCTTCAAGATTCTTGTAAGGCACGAAGACGCTGTTGCATCTCATTGAGCAAATTCTCGTCTTCTTCTTGTTCTTGTTCGACCGGGTCAGAAACAGAAGAGGTCTCTTGTACCGGTAATTCAGATGAGGGAACCTCGCTTTCTATCTTCGAAAACTTATCTTCGGTTAACCCCTGGATTATCTTGTTCACTTCCTCTTGAGATTCCTCTTCCAATTCGTCGTCAACATCTAAATCCACCATATCGTCCACCATTTCATTAATGATTCCTGCCTTCATTAGTTCTTTCGATAATTCTTGCATCGTGTTGGTGATTGCGCCCACATGGATCAACGAGTTCACATCTTTCATGACCCCAGTCAGCGCCTGCATTGATTGGGTCAATTTCTTCATTTGCCATTGCTCATTGACAGCCATCGTAATCAGCTCGAGTCTTGTTTTGGAGAGGTGTAGTTTTTTGTACTGATTGTTCACATTAATCAACTCGCGAGCATAGATCTTCGCCGTTTTCGCATCGCCTGATTTGGCTGCTTTCTTAATAAGCCCTTCAGTTTTTTTTTTGAGAGGCTGGAGTTGACCAAGCGACCGGTCAAGTTCTCTTTTGTTTTTCCGAAGAAGCAGGTTGATTTTCCGCATCTGGCTATGTTAGTACGGGAGCTATATAGACGGATTGACACCAGACCAATATGATTGGATTACGAAACGTACTTGATCTTTGGGATCGGGGCCCCAAATAGCAGTTTTAATATACTCCATTTTGCCACGATGATGATATCTCTGGAGCTGTGTGGGTCAGCTCAACTCTGACCTGCGATAAGATAAAACGTGAGATGCACGGGTGTGTGTGGTGATACTTAGCAATTTGAGCTATGATGGCATACACTAGAGGTTGTAACAGCCATTCCAGAGTATTTTTTCGAGATTAATTTCAAGTATATCAAACGAAAAAGGCAGAAACAATTCTTGTTTATGTGCATCACGTGACGAGCCAAGAATGATGACCGTGTTTTGACATTGACAGTTGCCTGATTTGTGCCACTCGTTTCCATCCAGTTGAGCCTGGCTTCATCTTCATCTCACGGCTGCGTAACACTCGTCTTGTAGAGCCATAGGAGGGGTAGATCATGGCTGCCTTGGCCAACCATGCCTAAAGTGGGCTCAACAGAGAATACAAACCCCAGGGCCCTGTCATGGATCCGCTTTGACAATGGAAAAGCCAGGCAAGAGCCGAATAAAAGATATATATTATTTTGATATACAGTAGACCCGGCAGTCCTTATGCAAATGAATGGGAGAAAAAGATGAGAGAGTATCGGTCGGGATACAAGCGTATTTTATCTGTAAGGAGCATCGGCATCAATACAATACTGCAATTCTTGCTCCCATTTGTCTCCGTTCTCCAACAACTTCTCCTTGTTGTACAACAACTCCTCTCTGGTCTCGGTACTGTACTCGACGTTTGGCGACTCGACAATAGCGTCCACAGGGCACGACTCCTGGCAGTACCCACAGTAAATACACTTGGTCATGTCAATGTCGTATTTATACGTTCTTCTGGAACCGTCGATTCTCTCCTCGGCCTCAATGGTGATGGCCTGAGCCGGGCAGATGGCCTCACACAACTTACAGGCAATACATCTTTCTTCTCCGCTGGGGTAACGTCTCAAGGCGTGCTCGCCTCTGAAACGGGGCGAGATGGGACCCTTCTCGAAAGGGTAGTAGATCGTGTAAGGGCTTCTGAAAAACATCTCCATACAGATGTACATACCACGAGCAATCTCGCTCAAAAAGAAGAATTTCGTGGCCTTCAGCAACGCAGACTCGCTGCTCTCCTCCCACGTCTGTGGGCGGGGCTGTCTGAAACCTTTTGGCCACACTGCCTGCGTGGAACCACCGGTGGTCAAATATTCAGTCACCGGGCCCGTGGCAGTAGCAGCTGGCTTGGCGATTCTGGCCAGAAACGCAAATCCACGCACACTGTTTCTAGCAAGGGACTGGAGCATTTTTCTCTGTTATGTTGATATGAGTGGAAAAAGACTGCAAGGATAGAGTTTAGGCGTGTTGCGGAGATTGCCAGTAGTGAAGAAGATTCTTACCCTGGCACAATTCACCGAGCGCCAGAGAGTTTCTCTGCGGAGCCTCGTCCCGTAACGAGAAAACATAGTGCGGTGATTGGCTGCGACATTTGCGCTCATTGGGCGACATTTCCCGGCCGCCCGACATTTTGCACATATGCGACATTTCTGCTCGGCCGTTTGTTCGCCTGTGGGTCGCGTGATCTCGCCCGCGCTTGCACGTGCCCGCCATCCGCGACATTTCGGTTAGACGCCTCGGGAAAAGAAAGTAGTACGTAGGTTGGCACACTGAGACTTTTGCAGCCAGAGGAAAAACACTGTTTCTTCCCGCGCTTCTGGGGTTACTTGATTTTGAAAAAGAGCGCACTCAAATATTGAGCGAGGCGACGATCGTCTAACTGTTCAATATTTGCTCGAGTGTCATACCATTTGCGGGGTTCCACCTTAAGCCAGTCTTGCGGCCAGCTAGAATCTTGCATACTTCCAACCAGTTCAGCTCACTTTTAGAGTTCTAACTCGCAACTGCCCAAATCCCTCTGTGAATCATTCTGGTTGGTGGGGTGTGTATTCCTTCAGTCCTTGTAGAAATGTGTGCGTTTGGCAACGTGTTTCGTACGTTAATGGTTGGAGAAATTGTTTCGTGTAATAATCATTTGAGGGACCTCGGTTAGGGAATTCTCAAAAAAGCGATACCATCAATTACATAAGAGCGCACATATCCTGGGGTGTGTCTTACTGCGTGTTGGAAAATGCGAGGAAGGGAAGCAAGAAAGAGCCACGTTCTTGAGAGCTGTTCCTTCCTGAAGCAAAAGTCATTGTTCAAAATGAGTATTAAGCTTTGGCTTCTTTCCTTTGGCTTGTCGCCTCTCTTTCCGTCCAGATCTGATAACATGTCCTGAGAACTATTACAGGAAGTATATAACATTATCAACACCCACGGCAGTGAATACGCGCTTCAGTTTGATTGGAACCCCAGAGGGGCATTCAAGGGATCCTAAACTAGCAAGTGTGCCTGCTAGCCAAAGGCTTATCAGAAGCACTAGACTTTTCATTGGCTCTTTTCCTTATTTGATCGCATTTGAGATGAGGCGAGAAGTTCGTGGCGACCGATGGAAAGTCTCTGGAATACGCTGTTTGCCAGCGGCCTTTTTCTTTCTTTTTGCGCAGACGATCAGGTTGATATACTTCCGGTATTCTGCAAAGATTTCTTATACAGTGCCACTAAGGGCTTTGGGCATGTCTTCAATAGTATATAGATCTCGACGAGCTGGGAGCGAGAGATGTCTTGGGACTTCGACGGCACACGCTGCACATGCCCACTTGGACTTGAAAGAATGTGGCTCACTAGTTGAGCCGCTGCAGTGACTGCAAAAGAGTTCGGAGCTACAGGACCAAAGAGCCACGCCTCTACGCATATTTTTAGCCTGGATTGTCTGGCTTTGTCTGTGAGGTGTGGTTCTAGCACAGCGGCACAGACGAGAGAGACTTTTTCAAAAGATTCATCTGATTAAAGACAAAAATATCCTCGGGGCCAAAAATGTGGCCAGAATTGACTCCCTAGGCAAGAAGTGATTTGCATAGGAAGGGCCCTAGTAATACTTGCTGGGGTGAGAATTATTATGCGGTCATGTCGCGGCCTCATGTTTTCTACGGGAAAGTGCGTCCGGAACTCCCCGCCATTCCAATGCTGGGAAAGCCCCGTTTGATAGGCCTGGGGGCCGTTTCAGCTATATGTAGCACACCCAGTCGGAGCCCGCGGCACGTGTTCTTTGCAATCTGGAGGGGGGCGCCATAGTAACTGGCCAGGCCCGGCACTGGCACAATGCGCGACAAATTGCGAGTAGCGCCTAATAACCACCCTAATAAGTCCAAGGATTGAGACAACGGCAGAGCCAGCACCCGCTCGTCGGCCACGTGACAATGGGGTGGACAGTGTTTGCCGCAGTCTCAAAAGCATGACCTTTGGTATTACGTGGAGAAAATGTGCACTTTCGTGTGCGGGCATCGGCTGGGCAGAATCCATCAACCTAGGCGTGCTGAGCTTAATCAGTCCGCGGAACAACAGATCCACACCGAGACAGGAATCTTCACGAGACAGGAATCTTCACGAGACAGGAATCATCACGAAACAGGAATCTTCACGAAACAGGAATTACCCACGAAACAGGTATCTTCACGAACAAAAGAAACCGACCCAGCAAAAAATCAGGCGCCCCAGAAAAAGTCAAGCCACGCCCACCTTTGGCCCCGCGACGTGTCCACCAGCCTTCCTGCCAAAAAAGAGCCTTCCCAGATTTTTGCCTCCAAAATGGCGAGTCCGAGCCGCGCCGTGGTTATCGCCTCGCGCCGCCTGCTACATGCCGGCGCTTTGTCCGGATTACTCAGGATTTGTCAAGCGCTTTTCGGCATGGGCCTGAGGCAAGCCCGCGCAACCCACCAAATAAAGGCCGCACGTTTAAAAAGAGAAACATATAACCCCAGCCACGTCCTTCGAGCACCAGCACCCAGGCCCCCTTCGCCACAAATCTTATTTCTGAAACACCCCCGGACACCTCGGTCGTCAAACCCAGTCTTGTGTTTTTCCTGAGAATTCCCACAAGCCCGCCTGCGCCAGTCACTCCAAACCTTTGCCTTCGAGGTCCCACCACCAGCACTTCTTCATATATCATGCTGTTGCCCATACAGCCCACGCCCGTCAGCACGCAGAACTTCGAGAACATGCCGCTAGTGTCGCCGGCGCTCACGCCATCGGTGCCCCAAACGCCGCAGAAACCACCGCACATTTCGCAGGAGGAGAGAAACAGGCTCCCGATCCACGATAAGCTCCCCCACGTCCGATGTATTGCCCGGGCGCGGATCCCCACGGTGCAGGGCCCCGAGATCTTCCTACATCTCTACGAGAACGACATGGACCAAAAGGAGCATTTGGCCATCGTGTTCGGCGAGGACATCCGCTCGAAGTCGCTCTTCAAGCAAAGAGACGGCGACACGCAGCAGGACAGAATGACCCGCGGCGCCTATATCGGCAAGCTTTTCCCCGGGCGCACCAATGCGGACTTCGACGAGAAGGCAAACAAGCGCCTTCGTTTCGACGCGAACGGCGACTTGATCTTGCTGGACCTGAACACTTTCACGGACGATGTGTTGGCCCGTGAGTGCTACACCGGCGAGACCGCCTGGTCGGCGCGCTGTGACTGTGGTGAGCAGTTCGACGAGGCGGGCCGCTTGATGGGCGAAAACGGCCACGGGTGCATTGTCTACTTGCGCCAGGAGGGCCGAGGCATCGGGCTCGGCGAGAAGCTCAAAGCATACAATTTGCAGGACTTGGGCGCCGACACCGTGCAGGCAAACTTGCTTTTACGGCACCCGGCGGACGGCCGTTCTTTCTCCTTGGCTACGTCTATCTTGGTAGACTTGAACTTGGTCAAGGTGAAGCTCTTGACCAACAACCCGGACAAGATCATTGCGGTGGAGGGCAAGAACCGGGATGTGGAGGTGGTGGAGCGGATCCCCATGGTGCCCTTGGCCTGGAACTCGCAGAATGGCATCAAGTCAAAGGAGATCGAGGGTTACTTGAGCACCAAGATAGAACGGATGGGGCATTTGCTAGAAAAGCCCATCAAGATATAATCTTGCAATGGGCGTCGCCCGAAGTCGGGGCTGGATGTCTGGCACCCACGTCGACGTCACAAGTCTCGACTAGCCTTCGTCAAAGCCTCGGATTGGCTTACTCCTTATAAATATGTACGATTACACGGCCCATGGATTTAGAAAGTCATGTGTTTCCCAGGATGACAACTAGTCTTCGGCAAAGTCTCGGACTTGAGGACTTCTTGGCTTGCTCCTTATAATTATGTACGATTACACGGCTCATGGATTTAGACTTTCTTCAAACTAAACGGTCCATTATATATCCCCCAGGATGACAACTACTCTTGAGTCGAGGCCTTCTTGGCTTCTTCCTTATAAATACGTACGATTACACGGCTCATAAACTTAGAACGTCTTCAAATTAAACGGTACATTATATATTTCCCAGGGTGACATTCACGTGGACTCGGGCTGCTCCCCGGCGCTGCTGGAAGCGTTGGCCCTCTTGATTTCAAGCAAGCGGGTGGCCTCCCTGTGAACATCGGCAACTTCTTGCGAGACCTGCTTGTAGAAGTCGTGGACCTTCGCGCCATACGGAGAGGACGACGCCTTGTCAAAGTAATGTTGCAATTTCTGCAGGTACGAGCTCTTTTGCACGGTGTTGGTGAGAGACGACAACAGACTCTGCGCCTTGTTCAAGTTCTTGGCTGCGACCGACTCGGGGTCCTGCGTGTGCAAGTACTTGCTGTCCAAATCCGTCAAAAACGACTTGAATTTCGTGCTGATGCCTTGCTGGCCATCGAACTTGATTGCCTTATCGATCAAGTCGTCGGAGACCTTGTATCCCGAAGCCAAGAGCTGGGCCAAAATGGCCAGCTTGGGCTTCTCCTCCTGGGAAATGTCGTCATAAGAATCGTCGCCGGTGATAATAGCCTCGTCTTTCTCCGACTGGATCTTGTTATCGGACACTTCAGCCCCAGATTCGGCGGCCTCCTCGTAGGTAGGAAGCGTGGATTTCGTGACTTTCACGGAAACATCCTCCAACTCTGCGTCATTCAAAAGAAGCGCGGTTTCAACTGCCTTTTGCAGGGTGAAGTTTACCTGGTATGTTTTGAAGCCTTCGGCGTCAGTATCGAGCTCATTGATTGACAGCACATTGCCACAGAAACTGAAAAACTCCTGGAGTTTATACAACTCGACGGCTGTGGAAACGTGTGAAACTGTGACTGCGGACATTATTGTTGGTGAGTTTGTGCTTATCGTGTATCTGCGTGGACTCCTGTGAATTGAGAGCTTCGTGTCAATGAATTGGGTCAAAAAGGATTTGTGGGTTTGTTTTTATGGTTTGGTTCTTGTGGACAGTCTTCGCTGGTGCTTAAATATAATGATGGCACGTAGCAAATTAGTGCAGCAGTACGGCAAGCATACTGCGCATGACGACATCAGACATCCCTTGCTTTTCGGGGGTGGGTTGATTTCCTGCAGCCAGTGCCGTCTAAGCGCACGCAAATGTTTCCGCGGAGCGACCAGCCTTGGATGTGGCTGCGGCCTGGGATGTCTGACGCAATGGGACATGAAAGATGCCGATTCCATCTTGGTAGAACGCCGAGTGGATCTCTGTATCTGTCCTCTGCATCTGTCCTCTGCATCTATCCTCTATGACTATCCCCTATGACTATCTTTTTTTCATCTTTGTGATGTTGACAGGCTACCGTTGTTCCTTTTTTGTTTGTTTACCCGTGAGTGCTCATGGCATACAGGGCAACACCGTTAATGGGATCGAGAACTTAAACTCATTCGCCTCGTTCTCGAGCTTGTACGCCAGCACGTACTCTGTAAATGCCTCGGGGTCTTTGTCGATGCGATACGATTCCATTTCTGGGAAGTCGTTGAGCACAAAGCGGAAGACCATGAAGTAGCGTAGATCCATGAACATGGAGGCCTGGAACTGCTGGCAGAGAAACCGCGGCAAGTTGATGTAGTCGCCCGTTCTTGCATTTTCCCTTGCCTCGTGGCCAGCAAAGGGGAACATAAGCGCGTCCGCATAAACATTCCTCTTGATTGTGGGTGTGACCTTGTAAATGTTGACGATCTTCCGCTCGTCCTTGACATGGAAGATCTCGTGTGCCTCGATGTGCGATGTGAGCCCCACGATTCGCAGCAGGTTCCGGAAATCAGGGTGGAGTTTCAACAGGAAGTGCACGTCTTCTCCGACATGGTATACGGCGCTGGACGTTGTGAGGACGCAGAGCGGCTGGCTGTTGACCCGGATTTGATATGACGTCCGGGGTTTCTCGGGTGTCTGTCGAAGCAACCCGCGATCCTCCGGGCGCACGAAGCAGACCGAGCTTTTGCGGCGCTCTTTCGCCGCTAGTGTCTCGAGGCTGCCCTCGATGAGCGAATCTAGGTCCTCGATGAACTTGTCTCTCATCGAGCTCTTGGTTTTCAGTAGGCCCTGTTTGCTCCCATTTATGTTTGTAGCTTCTTCGCCGGGACCTGCTGCCTTTTTTGTATCATCGGCCTCTGTCGACATATCATCAATGTGCGCCTTATTCTTCTTTTGTCCCTCACCCGCCTCTGCGTTCATTTCGCTGTCATGCGACTGGTTCTTCGCCCCTTCCTTGTACAGTTCACTCTCTCCATCTTCATTTAAAACATCGCTTTCTCCATCTTGATTCAAAACATCGCTCTCTCCTTCTTCATTCAAAACTTCACTCTCTCCTTCTTCATTCAAAACATCACTCTCTCCTTCCTTCTGATGTTCACTCTCTCCCTCCTTCTGATCTTCACTCCCTCCGTACTCCTTCAGAAGCCCGCTCCCATCTTTCCTGTGATCTTCCCTTCCGACTTCCATCGTCAGACCAGCTATCCCGTTCTCCAAAACAATATCACATGTGTCTGTGAGCCCACGCACTATCGTAGATCCAGCTACCCCTGCTGGCTCTCCACCCCCGACACACATGCTCCTGGCATCCTCCGGTTTCGTGGCAACCACCCCCTGGAGAAGTTTCTCGGGACTCCAGTGCTTGTCGAATAGTGGCGCCTGGAGGTAGTCGTGCTGGAGCCAGCTGCGGTCCATGCCATAGTGGCCCGGGCGCCATTCCATGGGAAAGTACACGGCGCGGTGGTGCATGTGACCGTCACTTTGGTCCTGGACACCCACCACAAACAGGTAGGCTATGGAAGCAAGACCCGCGTCGCCCAACGAGCCCGTCAGCTTGGTGTTGTACGACGGCGGAAGCGTCTCTGGCGGCATGTCCATGCGGAACCTGTACACACACTTCTGGCCAGGCAAGATCGTGGTGCTGGCAAAAATAAGGTGCTGGGCGGTCACGTAGATGGGAGCCACATACCTCGAGAGACTCGTCGCAAGCTCCTCCTGCTGGTGGCTAGAGAGCGGCGGCGCGTTGGCTGGCGGCATGTCCATGGTGCCAAACGGGTGCACTAGATCGTGGAGCAAATAGTGGGCCGTGGGGTCAAAAGCCCGGGCGTGGAGATCGGGCACCCCGCCAATCGTGCTGGACTTGGCCGGCCCGCTGGACGTGTCCTGCTTGCGCCCGTCAAAGAGCTCTGTGTGGAGGAGATCCTGGACTTTCTCGTCGCAATCGTCGCTGCAGTAGTGGCTCGCGTACTCGTGGTTATGCCAGTACACCGCCAGCGAGCTTTCGGCGCCCGTCTCGGCGCCGATCTGGTGGTTGAGCCGCACATAGCCCAACATCTGGATGTAGCCTAGAAGAAGCGGCACTTCGGGAGGTCCCTGTTCCACCAACCGCGCGGATTCAGAGCCCCAGAACGAGTCGAGCCAGCCCCTGCTACTTTGCGTGCCATTGCTGCCGGGTCCCGTGTTTTCGGCGGGTTTTTGTGAACCATTGGTTTCGGTGCCATGGTCGTGCGGTGCGCCGTGGGTATTGGCCAACTCCAAAAAACAGTCGAATTTCCCCGGCTGCCCGGCCACCGCCTCGTACGTGAGCGAGATTTCTAGCGACTCATTGACGGGCTTTGTGAATGTGTAGTTTTGGGGCGAGATTCCAGGCATCTAATGGTCTGGTAGGGCCTGGTGAGATCAAGTGCGAGGTCCGGCTTGGGCGCACTGAGGGCCCCAGGCAGGCACATGTCGCATGAGGGCACTGGATGGTCTGGGGCCGTGGACAAGTACTTTTCGGGTTTCAATTGGTATGAGAATTCCGTTTGTCGTGGAGCCCCAATTGCTTTTCTTGATCCTATGGAGCTGCCCACGTAGAGCGTGTCGTGTATGGAACCGTGGTACATGGCATCGCATAAGACGGAACCGTGATCGATGGACTGCAATATACGGCACCGCGACCCACGGGACTTGCATTGCACGCTTCGAAACACATGGACATCAACGGGCCAGGGAATCTTCCGTGCATTCGATGATACTTCCTACCAGCGTTCAGACTCGTCGGCACGTAAACAAAAAAAAAAATAGAAAAAAAAAAACATGCAGAAAGTGACGCTCTGGCTTCACCACGGAAAACCATCACTATAATTACTAGTGTCATTAGTTGATGATTCTGATGGTGGAGGACGAGCCACTTCTGCTAGCCGATTGTCTCGCTGGTGGGAAATCCAGTTGCAAGGTCAGGCAGAAAAAAGGACCATATGGGGCCTGAACATCTTATGCGTTCGGCATTCAACGAAGCCCGTGCCTGCTAATATATGTATCTGCACAGGAAAGAGGGCATATCCTGGAGGCAGACGACGTCACTATGAGACCTAATAATTGTGTAGAGTCCTGGGGACAAATAGCCGGAAATGACAGAAGGGACATTGAAACAAACATCTTGGTCAAATAAAATAAGCGCATGAGGAAGTTTAGTAGTAGGCAGTAAGTATGATCTAATAGTTTATATTGAAAATTTAATGAATAATGATAATAGAACTAATTCTAGTTTGAAACCATGTTCAGGTATTGAATGAGTTGAACATATTCAAATTAATAAATATATAACTATTAACTTAAATACATTAACCATAAATATATGATTTATGTTATAAAGGAACCTTTCATATAAAATATACATGGGTGATTTACATAACTTTAGTTGACTTATTTCCAATTTGAATGACGAATTCAAGAATAACAATAGCGATAACACCAGTTAAAGGAATAAAACCTAAAATGAAACCCAATAAAGAAGAACCCATTAAACCTAAAAAACTACCTAAAATTAAAAGTAGCCTGCTCGTACTATATCATAAAGGTTCTAACGCAGATGTCTTCTCTACATTTGCTGACTTTCACTGAGGTATTGGGAAGTGGAAACAACACTTGTTTTCATGGGCGCTCACGATAGCAGGTCTGAATCACATGTTGTCCTGGTATCTGATCTAGCCCCAGGTGCGTCGTATGCTGATGTCTCATCTTATCAAAGAGGGTAAATGAAATCTACTAATATATCGACCTTTGAATAGTCAATGACCAGGAACGATCCTCGTCAAAAAAATCCTTTGTAGGTTGATGGGGATGTATGATATACATATGTATGATATACATATGTATATATATATATATATATATATATATATATATCACTAATCCATGTATATTAGGGTCAGAATTCATGCGTCGACATGAACGGCCATTAGTCTCTGATCGCGCGATGTGAGTGTTTCTCTTGACAAAGGTTCACTTTTTGGCCCTTGCAGAGCCCCAAACAAGGCTATGGGGGCAAGGCTATACTTACCTACTGCATTCACTTTTCAGGAACCACGCTGTCCATTCCAGGTGCCAAGTTGTTAGGCATTTATGCTTGCAGCAATGGCCCCCGGCATCCAGTCTAACAAAAGATCACTTGTCATCTACATTCTGGATCCGTGATATATAATCGCTATACGGAGCCGCAATATGGAGCCGCATTATGAATCCTACCAACGCACATGGGCCGCAACAAGCGCACCCACAACGCATAGTCCGTAAAACTTTCCTCACGCTCCAACCTGGAATCCGCCTGGTCTCCCACCGCAGTCTAGGCGCTATCTCGCCTGGCGTGGCTGCCATCAGCCGCAGCAAAACATGACAGACACAGCATAACATGACAGGCAAAACTATCGTCTGTCTGGCAGAAGGTCTTATAGCACTTTCAACACGGGCCAATCCACGTGTCCGCCCTACCTTCCCTGTCTAGACTTGCAGAGTCTCGCCCGCCTCGTTCACAGGCACCTGGCCGGTCTCGGTAGGCACCGCCAGGCTGGGGTCCGCGCCATTCATCTGGTGGAAGTCCAAGATTTCGCTGTACATCATGACTCTCCATGTGTCCACGGGCAAGTCTGCGTCGTTGAAGCTCCAGTCGAACTTGGACTCACAGGCAGGCTCGTCGGTCGGGTCGTGGTAGGGCTCCATGTAGGGGTGCTGCAACGCATCCGCAGCCGTGATGCGTTTCTTCGGGTCAAACACAAGCATCTTCGAGAGCAAGTCGATGGCCTCGGGCTCCACGTGCGTGCACAGCGCAAATCTGTCGCCAAAGGGAATCGGGTCTCTCTGGGGCAACAGCTGCACAAAGCGCAAGGTGTTTTCCGAGCAGATGGTCTCGATCACATCCGGCGGCGGAGAGCCCAAGAGCTCGGTGATGATGGAAAACTGGTGCACGTGGTCTTTGCCTGGGAAGAGCGGCTTGCCCTCGATCATCTCGGCCAAGATGCAGCCCACGGACCACATGTCCACCTCGGTGTCGTACTTCTGCCAGGTCAACATGATTTCCGGCGCACGGTAGTAACGAGTGGACACGTACCCGGTCATCTGGGGGTCCTGGATGCGGGCCAAGCCAAAGTCGCAGATCTTCAAGTCACAGTTCTCGTTGATGAGGATGTTGGAGGGCTTCAAGTCGCGGTGGATGACGCCCGCAGAATGCACGTACTTCAACCCGCGCAAGATCTGGTACGTGAAGTATTGGATGAACTGCTTCTCCAAGGGCCTGGATGTGAGCAAGCGGTGCAAGTCGGTGCCTTGCAACTCCGTGACGAAGTAGATGTCCTCCAAGGGCGACAAGAAAATGTCGTCCAACGTGATGAGGTTCTCGTGGCGCAAGTGTTTCAACAACTTCAACTCTCGGTAGGTTCTCTTGGCCAACACCGAGGTCAGGAACGGCTTCATGATTTTTTTCACGGCCACGTTCTGGTTTGTGAGCTTGTCCATGGCGGAGCACACCAAGCCGAAAGCGCCCATGCCGACCGGGTTCAAGTCCGTGTATCGGGAGGTGATTTCGAACACCGTGCCGAAGATCTGAGTTCTGGTGAATTCGCCTGCTGAAGTCATTTTGGTCTATATTATAGCTGGGGGAAGGGTACGGCTTTTTTCCGGGGGCCTGTGTGATTGCTGTCCAGTGGCTGGCTCGAGGTATCTGGTGCCAGATGTAGATAATCACAATGGATTGATATATTTGTGTTTGCTGAGCTTGGAAAAAATGGTCACTCTTCCCGGTGCTCCAGCAAAATTGTGAGGGCAACCTGACGAGCGCGCGTGGAGCTCAGTTGCTGGCAAGTCACATTGCAAATTACTGCGCTGAGATGGCCGGTTACACTACGATCGACAGAAAACACTTCCTTTTCGGGGACAATCATTAAATTGGCTGAGGCGAATAGATTGACACGGACTGGAATTCAGCGATGGGTCTTGCCCTGGCTCGCCTGCCAAAGGCACTGTGCAAGAGGCACGCTCTACCTCGGTGAGACAATGAAAACCAGCCAGATTTCAAAAAAAAAGAAAGTGAGCAGTTGTGAGCGGGTGAATTAGATCTACTGTTCTTTAAAACGAGTGCTTGTGCCGTTGCAGTTGGCGGGCGTAATTAGGGCAGCCTCCGCTCCAGTTTGATCATGGCCCGTACTTCCGCACGAGTGCAATATATCTGCTAATCGTATCCAAACCCCCTCCAGGTTTTGATTGGGGGTTTCCCCTAGACCAATATATATGTCTTCGTCGTCCAGTTGGGTTCTTGCAGTAGATCGGAAACATATTCTTATTCACGGCTTGCCCCAGAAGAGCTAGAGCGCCTTGCCTAATTTAGACGTACGTTGCGGCACTCAAGCCAGAAATGGAAAATGAATAGAACATATTCCTGTGCGCTACAAAGCTCCCCACCAGAGCAATTCTTATAGGCTGCTAGATACGTTATGTCGTAGTACCGATTCAATTTGATATAGCTGAGTCAGACAACTGTCGAAAATGCTACTTCCTCTTTAGGTTTAGGTTAACCCGGGCTCGGTTGGATCAGCGTATGTTCATGAGCTTCCCCATGTGCTTGCCATCGTTGCTTGCAAAACTCTCTTCGGCGTCGGGCCTTGCTTGTCTGTAGAAATCGAAAAGCGACCAGAACTTCAAGTTCTCGTCGCCCGAGACTGTGGCGAGGGTGGTGCCATCCGGGCTTAAGCACCCATTCAAGATTCTCGAGTCGTGAGCCTGCAAAACCTCGCCCGTCTTCTGAAGAGTGGGGTAGTTGAAAAGGGAGATGCTGTTGGACGGATACCCGTGAGTCGCAACCACTTCGTAGCCCGTTCCCTTGGCATATCCCCAATTGAGCGAGGATATCTGCGACTCAGTTTCGATCAGGTTGACGCGTGCTCCCGTGCTGGTGTTCCAGAAATGAATGGACTTGTCGCTTGTACCTCCTCCTGTCGCAAGAAGCAGGCTCTGGTATGGACACCAGGCCATGGCTTTCACGGCAGCTCGGTGGTTTGTTTTCTGGAACAACGCGTCCCCGCTCATGTTGCGGGCATCCCATATGGCCACCACGTTGTCGTTTCCCCCGCTACAGAACTGCTGCCCGTCGCCTCGATACTCGATGCCGCACACTTCGGCCAAGTGTGTGTTCTCGCGCTTGCCCACTAGATGGGACGACACGCGTACATCGCTATGGTATATGGTACCTTCCTTGGACCCGGACGTCAAGAGATGCAGCAGCCAGCAGTGTGAGGCCACCCGGCCCGTGGAGCTGGAGGCGAGTGTGCGCAAGCGCGAATTGGTTTCGATGTCCCAGATCTCGATGGACCCGTCGTCCTTGCCTATGGAGATGTAGGAGCCGTCGCCGGACCAGCGGAGCGACGTGATCAAACTACCGGGCGTCTCGCAGAGCAAGCCCACCGATCCGGTCGACGCATTCCACACATACACAGCGTCCTCGAGCCCAATGACAATCAAGTTGGTCAGCGACCACGACACAAGGTTCAAGTAGAAATCGTCCACGATGTTGGGTGCATCGAGCACGCGATCAGGGGCCGTGGGGATTTTTTTGGCACGTTCGGACGCCAACGACGGGCGGAGTGACTTGCCCGTTGTCCGTTCCAGGGCCTTACAGAGAGAACCCAGTGTGATGTGGCTGAATAGGTTCAACGGCTTGCTTCTTTCGGGAGGCAAGGGCCGGTAGGATAGAATGCGCGAGTTGACGTCGAGCCCACAGGCCTCGGCCACGTGGTGCTGGTAGATTTTGTTGGTCTGCGCCTTGATGTGCGTCTGAGGAGACGCGTTGGGATGCGGTCTTTCGCTGGCAGCGGTGAGCTTGCTTGTGGTGGAGTTCTTGTGGCTCGGGATGAAGCGGTCCGACGTCGTGGCCTCCTGCAGCGTGAGAAGTGATGTCGAGCGGCGAAGCTTTGCTGTTTTGGGAGGAGACATGGACAAGCGGGGCAGCGCTGTGGAAGATGACATGTGCAAGAGCTTGGGCCGGGCAAAGTCGGCTATCGAAGACTTTGACCGCAGCAACGGCGGCTGGAGGAACGGCGGCAGTTTCTTGGGCATGGCCACCCTTTTGCGGCACGGCAGCACTGTATCCAATGTTCTTTTTGTGGGGTTGGCCAGCCGCAAGTTCTCCATGGTCACTGCAGATGTTGTGGAGTCATGAAAAGGGGTCTTGGGCTGTTTCGGCGGCGATCCTAGGACGGTCGACATTGTGTTTGTGCAATTGGATCCCTGTGAGTGGTGTGTGTCTCCTATGGTGGCAGTCTGTTTGGTTGACTAGAGCCTTGTCTTCAGTGTAGCAGGTCAGATTACTTGCAGCAAAAGAGTCCTAGTATGGACTGGACCAGTGTCTCGCTCGTAGGCGCTTGTAGAATGTGGAGATCAAGACCAAGGAGAAAAGCAAAGACACCTCTGGGTGTTTTTTACTGGATTGGCCGGAAGATAATGAGTCTATGCAATGACTGGACTAGCAATCAAGAAAAGTTTTAGCTCTGATGGTAGCGTGGAGTGAGGTCAAGAAAAGCAGAAATATGTGGCGGCGATGCACTATCCTCAGTATCTTGCAATTGGTCCTGGGTATTGGCAAGTGATGCTGAGGTCTTGCTGCTGTGAGTCCGGAAACGGCAATATTTGTGGGTGCTATGTTTAAAGGTCACGGCGGACTGCAAAATTCTGGGCACGCTGAGCTTGGACCGTGGGTTTTCTTCTGACGCCGGCGATGACTTGGTGTTTTCAAAGAAGCGGGAGTGTACAATCCACTCTCTTTTTTTATTTGTTTGTTTTCCTATGCCTGTCCTAGCAACGGGTTCACGGCGCTGAAACGGATGTCTTACTTTGCTCCGGCTGAGCCCTCGCTGCTTAGGCACAAAGAAGCCGCTGCCTGCTGCGCACCTTGTTGATGTCCTTGCCTTATTAGGAAAGGTGATTGCAAAAGATGTTGGTGCGCGCCCAAGCGCGGCTTCCATGACGGAAAATGTCGCGAGCGCTCTTTTCGGTTACGGGAGCGACAACGTCGCTCAAGGTGACAGGCCTTTTGAATTCGGGCTGCCTTCAGGTATTTCAGTGCTGTTTCATTCCCTCTTCTCCGAAATGGGTGGTAGCCTTGCTACTGGGCAGTGTTGTCGGCCCCCCTATGCCCATAAGGAGCCGGTATTCATCATCCCGGCCCGACGCACCCAGCTAAGTATATGCACTACTCGGGCAAGGAAAGCAGATCCGTCTGAGGTATTTCTGACGTTCCAAATTTGGCAGGCCAAGTTTCAAACGTTGGAATGACGGTGCCTGGCCTCGGCAGGTCAGCATCACGGCTCAGTTCTGTAGCACCTTTTTATTAGAAGATTTGGATTTCACCACGCATCTCTGGGTGTGCAGAGTGAGGCCGTTTTTTCACGGTGGCCTTGGTACTGGGGCTTCCTGGGTGACGGGTGCGCCGCACAGGTAGTGGGGCAACGGTTTGATGTGGGTCCATTGTGCCTGACGGAAAAGGATGCACGAACAATCCTCGTGAACAAAAGAGGCTTACTGGAATCGTGGGCACTAATTCAGAGGAAGCGATGCATTATTCCGAGTTTCCGGTTTTCGCTTTTCGCGATATCTTCTGAGCCGGTCAAAACTGAAACCCGGTTGCGTGCATGAAAATGACACACTCTGAGCGGACCGAAGATTGATAACCTAAGTGAATTTTCTTGACATGCCAGTTTTTAGAGGTGCTGTGGCGTGTCGGTCGAATGGCCAGTGACTTTCATACTTAATTTGGTCTGGATATTGACCAGACCACGACTTCTGACGAGGGATTCCCATCTCGGTCCCAAATACCGGTTCCAAATTTCGGTTCCAATCTCAGTTCCAAATATCGGTTCCAATTTCGGTTCCAATCTCAGTTCCAGATATCGGTTAATTTATTGAATTCCTCAAAGTGCCTTCTTAGCATCACACATACTTGCGTCTATTGGTTCGTCTGTTCCACCGCAGTGCGAAGCGTTGTATAAACAGACCTGCGACCCCAGGGCCATTTGATGCGAACCATCAGTAAGAACAGTCAAAATAACAAGCCGCGGCTGGTACCGCCGTCTACTATCAAAAAAAAGATGCTCCACGTGACCTCCTCAACTGGATAATCCGGACATTCTAAAATTGTCGGAGTTCCAATATGACAGGTGGTGTAAATATTGCCCGGCAATGCAGGTCTGTCTCCCGGCTCGCGTAGTGCGCCCGCACATCCAGTCGGCTTATCGGTCACGTGAGGAGCACCTCGAAGTCTTATCACCAACACCTAAATCGCCAGGCACAACACTAACATTGTACCATGGGCAACCAGCCGTCACAGCCGAAGATCACTGCGCAGGAAAAAGCAATCTTCCAGCTCAAAAGACAGCGGGACAACTTGAAACAGTACCTGAAACGCATCAATGTCGTCATCGAAAGGCAGACTGCGCTAGCTAAACAGGCTGTTCAGGACGGCAACATGGACAAGGCAAAGATCTACTTGCGCCTGAAAAAACACCAGCAGAGTCTCATCAACAGCACGTACGACCAGCTTGAAACCCTCGAGAATTTGATCGGCACCATTGAGTTCAAATTAATCGAGAAGGACGTCCTCTACGGGCTCAGTCAAGGTAACGAGGTGTTGAAGAAGCTCAATTCGGAGATGAGTGTCGACAAAATCGACCGTGTCATGGACGACTTGGAGGAAGAGCGCGTGAAGGTAGACGAGGTCATGGACATTTTGGGCCTGGGCTTGACGAATGCAGAGGAGCACGAAGTGGATGACGAACTTGAGGCGCTAGAGCTCGAGGTCACGGGCAAATCCGCTCAGTTAAGCTCGGGAATCACTGCGGGTGAGCAGCCTGGTGACCAGCCTGCGCTAGATTTACCGGAAGTGCCCACAACGGCTCCGAAAGCCGAGGAACGGGCGGAGATCTCGAAGGAAGAAGAGCAGGACGTACGCAAGGCGGAGCCTTTGGCCGCCTAGGCGTGTGCTTTTCTTCCTCGGGTTATTGAGCGGGGCTCTGAGGTGAGCATAATTCCATTGCCAGCTTTGTTCTAGATATAGGGTCAAAGCTGGCACCTCGCCTCTCAAAACCGTCACTCCAGGGGCCTTCGTTGGCTCTGAGCCTGGACTTTTGTGAATGCTCATCCAGCGCCGCCGCCATGGAATCATCTCGAGCACATTCCAAACTGGTGCAAGGGCCAAGAGAAGCACGCAAGCCGGCTCCGTACAACGTACCAAGAAGGATCGACAGGCGCAATGCCATATAAATATGTACAAGAATTAAATCGGCTTCTGGGACCTACAAGTCCAACCAGTCCAAGAATTCTGGCGTGAAGTACGAGATGATCAAGCGGGCTCCAGCTCTCAAGAACCCGTGGTGGGACTCGAACGCAATTGCCTTCAAGTCCACCACGCCTTTCTCTGCTGCCGCGTGCAACATCGCATACTCCCCGCTCACCTGGTAGACGCAAAGTGGGAAATCCTTGCAGATTTTCGACGCCTCGTTGACGACATCGAGATAGAACGTGGAGGGCTTGACAATGAACGCATCGGCGCCCTCCTCAATGTCTCTGAGCAATGCACGCCGGGCCAACCCGGCTCCTCCACTGGGCAACTGGTACAGTTTTCTGTCGCCGTGGCTCGGCACGCTGCCAGCAATGTCCCTGAACGGCCCATATAAAGAGCCCGAGAACTTGGCCGAGTAGCTCATCACGAGCACCTTGTTCTCCAACTGCGCCTCGATAAGCCCACGCTTGATTTCACGGATCCGCCCGTCCATCATATCGGATGGCGCCAAGCAGTTTGCGCCGGCCCGCGCATAGCTGACCGCCACCGCGCCAATTCTCAACACGGACTTCTCGCGTTTTAACGTGCCGTCCTCGTGCAAAATGCCACAGTGGCCGTGGCTCGTGTACTCGCATAAGCACACGTCGCACATGATGTAAAGCAGCGGGAATTTCTCGCGGAGCAACCTGATAGCACTGATGACCGGGCCTTCCGGGTCGTCGGCAGGCGTGCCTTCCTCGTCCTTGACGCCCGGTTTCAAAATCACGCCAAACAAAATCACTGCACGCAATCCCTTTTCAACTAGCGGGGCCACGTACTGCAACAACCTCTTGATGCCTACCCTTTTGATGTTAGGCAAGGACTCCATGACAGTCTCCTCGTCCGGGATGTCGGACACGAAAAGCGGGAAAATAAACATGGACTTTGTGAGCTGTCTCTCACTTTGCCACTCCCGTGCCAATGGGTGGTTGTACCCGCCCTGCAAAATGGACGAGATTTCCGTCGTGCTTTCTGAGAGGTATTGTGCCTTGTGCAGCGACATGACCTTTGTATATTCGAGGCCGATGGGGAAGAAAAAAGGGGGCTTTCGCCGGGAATCTTTGGTGCTGGAGAAAAGAGACGGGGTCTCATAGTGGATAATGGACATGGAATTGCGAGCGCGCGCACCTGTCTCGGTTGTCAGACTGCACTATACGAGGCAGGGTCATCCCGTTTTGACTGGCATGGGTGAGGGTTAGAGTGGGTCATGCATGGTGTGGCAGACATTGGCAAATAAGAAGAAATATATAGTGTAAATTATTCAGAGAATGAAAGTCATTCAGCAGAGCCATGTTGAGTCTGAAGCTAAGTGAGAATTTATGTCTGAGACTTTATAGCATGCGCGCAATACTATTCCATGTACTGTACCTTTCGATACGAAATCACGATTCATGACTGGGAAGGCTCACATTTGCTTTCGAGACTTTAGAGCAGATCACAAAATCTTCGTTTTTCTAAATATACCTGGGGAGCAAGATTTTGCGGGTCATTCAATTTGCGACAACAGGTGTCGTGATGATGAAAAGCGGTGTTAAAGATATGAATTAAGCTCAAAGCGGGCTCTAACAAAAAGTGTTTTTGGTATCTCAAGCGATTTTTTGTACAACCTGCTGTATTATAATTGTATAATTCGTTATGTGGGGTTTTAGTATGAGAGAGAGAAGAAGACACGCGAGTGTTCCAACCTTCAAATGGAATGAGTTCAACTGATGTGTTTAATTAGCGAGCATGGTCACAGGCTGGAGTTCAATTTTAAAAGTGCTGAAAGCAACATACACATCAGAGTTACAGGGGCCTCAATAGATGTTGACAGTTCTTGCGAACGGGAGAATATGTATTCAAATTGCAAGAAGAGATACATATATTCGGCCATTTTCACACATGGTCAAAGACATCCCGCACTTTTGGATCCTCTTCAATGGTAAAAGTATGAGAGGTTATGATATACTTCTTGAAAACGCGTTTTTTCCACGGAAATGGTACGGTTCCTCAAGTTTTATCAGCTAGAAAACAAGACACGACCAAAAAAAAAAAAACAAAGTCCGATCAATCGGAGTTTTAATCGTGAACATACACGTGGCCAATCGAAAGCAATATTAACAGCGTAGCACAAAGGTTTCTATCCCAAAATATCCAAAGGCTTTCTTTCATGCATTCCATACAAATGCGCTGACTCGGTTAACTTCAAACTTACAGACTTGTGAGCGAACACTTACAAGCTAATCTAGGCAAGTCACCAATATTTTAGTCTTTTGGCTAATCTACGCTCTAAATTAATTGAGGACTCTGCTGATCAGCTTATTGCGAATAGTAAATATTCCTTAGGAGATGGTTTCATATACAGATCTCGATCATTTCATTATGAATCATAATTAAAAAATGGTTTCCTTTGAAGCTACCATGATTGAACGGCTACACTAGTCGCACAATTCAGTTGACAGATTCCCAGAAGTTCCTGTTTGCTCTCTTACAGTCACGTAGTGATCCACTACAACACCCACCAGCTCTCATGCTCAGATTGTGATTTTTGAAAATCCTCTTTTGGTGATGTATGCCCATTATTGCTTCACAAGAAACAATGACATGAGTCGTTAGGTTCGACTGGCTTTGTTGTCATCATATATTTGCTGTACTCCTGGTGATGACGTGTTAATTTGTTTTCAAAGTTAATGTCTTTCGTCATTTGAGCCATCACACAAAACACTTCTTTTCAGAAAGTCAGATATACAACCCCGTACCTTGTTTCGTCTCTTCAGTTAAAATTCTCATTTCTGTACTTCCATATCTGTACCACAAGCACTGAGTTTAACAAAAGCGATGACAGGTACCCTGTGAGCAATACAAAATCTCTGAATTGGCTCCGCTTGAAGTTTGACATGGTGGTGAATACGCGAGCCAATGACCCAAGAACATTAGCACCCACAGTGATGCCAGATAAATGTGTCGTCGATCTTAGCATGGTATTCTTTCTAATCTGTGGAACTTTGGCCGCAATTGAAATGGGAATATTGGCGAGCTGAAGTGCCAGAATCAAACCTGGAGGTGCAATTTTTGTGATATACACAATAAGACCTGTAATGGTAAGCATAGGCAGAACGAGTTTGCGTAAAGACTTCTCTTTTTGCTCGTTATCCAGGATCGCAGAAGACAAATAGACAGCTTTTCTTATCTGGTAATATTCGATAACCAAAAGAAGTACCGTGTTTTGCAAACCCAACAAAAGCGACTCGCCATAGTTGACAAAAGAGTTTCCTTGTTGTTTATTGTATGCCACGTGTACAAACTGAGCCAATGTTTCCAACTGCACAGACTGTTTCAGAACCCCCTCAACTAAATGTGCTCTTTGTAATGCTGTTTTCGGCTTGAGAAGTTTCTTTATGTGCGGTACTTTGATGAACGATGACACAGCAACGATTATGGCGCCAAGTGATGCCACAAGTACTCTGGTGTATCCCATAGTCTTTGCCTGTCGAAAAGCAAGTTGCAAAATCACTCTGTTGGACAGAATTGGCCCTCCAATCAATTTAATCATCATGAAGACTGGAGACGACATTATGTAGACAACTTGTTACTATATATATGGGTATGTTTTGAACAGCTGTGAATATGTGAAACTAGATCTCAAGCTCACATATATGATGACAGGATTTATGTAGTTCAACTCAATGAATTTGGTGACAAAGACACCTTGAATGCTGTAAGTAAGTGTCATCAGCGATATACTTTGTCGAGCATACTGAATATCTGCGGGGAATTCTCGATTTGAGCCGCACGCATCTCAGCACCATATACAATTTGAGGCTTCAGCGAAATACAGATACGGCATCGAAAAGATCACGAAAATTGAAACCATGAAACACATTTTTAACCAGTATAGCTGCGCTTACTTGAAATAGGAATTGGTTGGATTATTTTCCCTTTTCTTTCAATGAGACATGTCAAACCATAAGTTCTCATCGTTTATTTTCCTATTTTATGAGCCATGATCTTCTTTTATTATCAATGAAGCTTCTTTTGCCCCTTTACCTGAGCTAACTTTTGCTCTAGCACGTCCTTTGTGCTCTCGATGTACTTCAAGTTTTCCAAATGGAAGTTCAACAATTTCACAATCTCCTCCAACGAGTTCTCGCTTCCCTTTCCATCTGGGCCTGATATATTTTCAATCAAGGATTTGTTGAATACATCACTGACTGAATTGATTTCTCCCACTAATGTTTCCAAGTTGCTTCCCAAGGAGTCCAATCTTTCATCCAACAACTTCGCATTATTGTACGCCTTTGCGCGTAGTTCGTCGGTGATGTCAGATGATGAGCTTAAAGATGTACCCCCGTTTGGCACCAAAGCATTCTCTGTATTGGTAGCTTCGATGTTGTTCAACAAAATCTCCGCCTGCTGCTCATAGTTGTCAAGGATTCTGTCGAGTTCATCCTGCTGTCCTTCCACAAACACCAACTGTTGGTCAATTCTTTGGTGCAAGGCATCCACTTCCATACTATCGTTGTGCAAGTTTGTAATCTCATCTCCGCTTTTGGCGAGTTTTAAGTCCCAATCTTTCACCTTATCAGTGAAGTTGTCAAAGATCCCGCTAGTAGTCGTCAATTGTTTGGACCACTTCATAACCAAGTCATCCATGGTTTTATTGTCGAGAGACACAGGTATCGGTTTGACTTCTGTGGGCTTCAAGTTTGGCAAGTTTTCTTCTTTCTGTTGAGTCTGACCCAGTTTCTCTTCCTGGGATGTCTTTGAGCCAAAAGAAAGACCAGCTGGCTTGTCGTCCTTTTTGGATTCAGTGTTACCAAAAGATAATGTGGGGACCTTTTCGTCCTTCTTCTCGGTCGAAGAAGCTCCGAAAGAGAAGCCTGGTGCTTTCTTTGAAGAGTCTGCAGTCTTGTCTTCCACGGGCTTATTTCCAAATGAGAAAGCTGGTTTTCCTGCTTCTTTCGTCTCAGTTGGCTTGGTGTTGAGTGAAAAGGCTGGTTTCTCTGTCTCCTTCGTCTCGACAGGCTTGGCGTTGAGTGAGAAAGTAGGTTTTACTGCTTCCTTCGTCTCAGCAGGTTTGGCGCCAAATGAGAAGGCTGGTTTTGCTGCCTCCTTTGTTTCGGCAGGTTTGGCACCAAATGAGAAGGCTGGTTTTTCGGTCTCCTTTGTTTCGGCGGGTTTGGCGCTAAATGAGAAGGCTGGTTTTGCTGCCTCCTTTGTTTCGGCAGGTTTGGCACCAAATGAGAAGGCTGGTTTTTCGGTCTCCTTTGTTTCGGCGGGTTTGGCACCAAATGAGAAGGCTGGTTTTTCGGTCTCCTTTGTTTCGGCGGGTTTGGCGCCAAATGAGAAGGCTGGTTTCTCGGTCTCCTTCGTCTCAGCTGGCTTGGCACTGAATGAGAAAGCTGGTTTGTCTGATTTTTCATCTTTATTCCCTTCGGGTTTAGCACTGAATGTCATAGAACCCGTGGCTGGCTTGCTAGCTTCTTGGGAACCAAAAAGAGAAGATGATGTCTCGCCAGTTTTTGGTTCGGCCGGCTTGCTTCCAAAAAGAGAGGAATTGTTCGAGGTCGTTGAGGCACCGCCAAAAAGAGGGCTCTTTGATTCCGCCGGCTTTGCCCCACCAAAAAGGCCCTGTTTGTCAGTGTTTCCTGATGCCAGGGTCCCAAAAAGCGGTTTGGTGGCAGAAGAAGTTGCAGGTGTTGCTGCATCCTTGTTGCCGAAAGCAAAGCCTGATGTGCTGGAGCCGCCCAAGGCAGGCGCGGGCGTGGTCGAGGAGCCGCCAAATAAGCCTCCTGAATTGCTGGCAGCGGGCTGCGTTGTGGCAGCTCCTGTCAAAGGGTTTGCTTGTCCGCCAAATGCAGACGCTGTATTCTGACTTGAGGCCCCAAAGGCCGAAGTCTGGGCGGTGGGTGCAGCGGCTGAATTGCTTCCGAACAAGCCGGATCCGGTCTGTGCTGGCTGGCCGAAAGCAGACGTGTTTCCTGATGTGCCTGCTGCAGGCGTACTACCAAAAAGGCCCTGTCCATTTGGAGCACCATTCTGGGGGCCAGGCGTGGCTCCAAAAGGAGCCGTGGCAGCGCCTTGCCCGGCAGACCCGAACATCCCGGATCCAGGCGCCAGAGCGGCGGGAGCAGCAGGCGCATTCGACTGGTTTCCACCAAAAGAGCCAAATGCTGAGGGGGCGGCGGCAGAAGTTGTGTTTGTGCCAAAGCCTGTGGCCCCGGCATTGTTAGAGGAGCCAAAAGGAGATGGCTTGGCTGCCAGGCCCGAGTTTGAAGCAGCGCCAAACGCAGGTTTGGGTGCCAGATTCGAACCAAAAGAGCCGCCAAAGGGAGAGCCCAGAGCCGCGGCTGGAGTCTGGCCAAATGGCGAGGGCTGCGGGCCAGAGTTGCCCGAAGCACCAAACGAGAATCCCTGGGAAGCCAGAGGATTGCTGTTATTAGACCCGAACATACTAGTAGTAGGCGTGGGAAGAAAAGTGGGTGGGTACGTTTTTTATGCTTCTGCACTGGTGTCATAGATGCTTGATGTCAGACTCGGTGCGCGAAAAAGCGGTGCCGTATGTGCAGGCTCCTGGTGATGATGGGGGCCATAGTTTAGTTAGCGGCAGCAAGCGTTTGCCTTTTGGGGATATAGAAGGGTGTGCTTGTTGGGGCTTACTTTCTGTTCCATGAATTGATAGATTGTCTGGAGACGATGCACCGGAAAGGAGTTGCATGGATCCACTGATCACGTGACCTCCGCAGGGCCCCGCAGGTGCAGTTCGTCAGTCCAAGCTGCAACGGAGCCGTTTAAACTCCCATGAGCACATCGTCTGAGGCTCTTGGAAAACATCTCCCGACCAATTTAAAGAAATTCATCTCTGATTCAACAAGCGCATCAGTCTTACGATTAATGATGAACATCTTTATTCTAATCAAAGATATCCATCTCTTCTTCGAACTAATATAAACATCTTTCTCGCAATTTCAGAGGAGCATCCAACAGCCAATTGAACTATAAGGAAAACCATCATTCTTTCAATGAAAAGAAATCTATTTTTTTGAATTCAAAAGAGCTTTTTCTTTCTATTCAACGGTAAGCATCCAGTTACAGAAGAGCTTCTTCTTTTCTATTTGAGGTATACATCTTTCTCGCAATTAAAGGAAGGCATCTTTCTTCCAATTGAAAGAAACACCTTCGTTCCAATTTTACACACGCATCTATTTAGAGCCTTGGGCAGCGACAGCAGCAGCACCGGCAGCAGCAGCCTCTGGGTCCAAGTAGTAGGCAGGCTTGGTGGGCTTCAACTCGGCGTCCAATTCGTACACCAATGGGATTCCGGTAGGAATGTTCAAGCCGGCAATCTCCTCGTCGGAGATGTTGTCCAAGTGCTTGACCAAGCCTCTCAAGGAGTTGCCATGCGCGGCAACAAGCACGGTCTTGCCCAGCAACAAGTCTGCGGCAATCTCGTCCTGGTAGTATGGCAACATTCTGTCGATGACCAACTTCAACGACTCGGTCTTTGGCACAACGGCTGGGTCGAGGTCTCTGTAGCGGGCGTCGCCCACTTGCGAGTACTCAGAGTCGGCCTCGATCACTGGGGGAGGCACGTCGAAGGATCTTCTCCAGATCTGGAACTTCTCCTTACCGTACTGCTCCAAGGTCTGGGCCTTGTCCTTACCTTGCAAGGCACCGTAGTGTCTCTCGTTCAATCTCCAGGATCTCTTGACAGGCACGTACAATTGGTCAGCAGCCTCCAAGGCCAAGTTGGCGGTCTGGATGGCTCTGGACAATTTGGAGGTGTGCAAGATGTCGACGGTGATGCCGGCGTCCTTGATCAACTCACCGGCCTTGGCGGCCTCCTTGCGGCCGATCTCGGACAAGCGCACGTCCACCCAGCCGGTGAACAAGTTTTTCTCGTTCCATTCGGATTGTCCGTGTCTGACCAAAACAAGCTTAGGCATGTCTAGAGTGTGTGTGTTTTTTATTTGTGGAAATCTCCAGTTGTAGGAGGCGTTTTTTTTGGGGCGCGCGCCGTCTTTATATATTGAATGCTCGGCCATTGTGGAGGATTGAAGTCCGAACGCCCGGGGCCGCGCCCACGCAACGGGAACATGGAACCTTGCGGGGGCCTGATTATGGGGCTTTCGCCGGAAGAAAATAAATTTAAAAAAACTTTCCTTGCAAAAGCTTAGTGTTTTTTTTTTCTTGTTTCAATATGGGGGAGTTTCAGGATGAGAAGCATGAAACAAATTTTCATGGCATGTCCATTCCTTTTGCTGAGCTGTTTGCTGTTTCGTTCCTGGCTTTACTTCCAGTTCAGGTTTATTGGGCGTCCTCATGTCTGGTGAATTCACCGCACCTTTTTTAATAGGCGACACTGCGGTCCATTGGAAAAAGCGAAGGATGCGATGTCCCCTCTAAATACCATACAGCGATTGGGACTTTTTGTTTCGTTTTGTATCGTTTTGTTTGTTTTGTTTTGTTTTGTTTCTGTTTTTGGTTTTGGTTTTGGTTTTTTTGTTTCGCTCTGGACTTTATTCAGTATCAACTGTGAGGCCCCTAAGCGTGAGTATGGCACTATGCTGGTATGTAGCCGTATCTTGCGTAACCGGGCGAAGAGCAGTATGCGCTTGAGCAGCTCGGTCGACAAATGCGCAAAGGTACAACTCTTCGCTTATCCTTCGATAAGTCTGAGCAGAAACCTGAATGTGTTTTTTCCGCCATCTCAAGGTTCCTGGCAACTTTCTCATTTCAGTCCAATCTTTTTTAGTCTCAAGGACCCCCAGCTCACGCAACAGTAGTTCTCAGACTAGCCCAGATGAGTGATTTGAGAAGGGCCATTCCAGGGACAGGGTACATCTAGACTCGATTGAACGGAGTCAGGTTGACCGGGCATGTATTGGTTTTAGTTTTTCTACAAATTGAGACCTCTATGCCAGAAGTACACAGCACAATCATGTTCAACCCTCCCTGTAGATCACAACTCTCGCCATCCCTCATCATTGTGCTCCGTTCAAGTGCGTCGAACTTACTTATGGTCTCCAACTCACGATTAGTGGTCTCATGGCACACACTAGTACACGGATGGCTCAGGGGTTTAATATGCTGGGTGCTCGGCCGATTCAGCCTTCGCTACAGTATCATATACCATTTGAGTAACTGCAAAACTTCTTCAAAATCAATAATGTAGCCATGAGGCAACAAGAACGTGGGAAGGAAATGACACTTTCAGCTTCAATATCTCCTCTTGTGATCACAAGGGGTCTGTTCTGAAAGCTACCTTGCGGGATTGCCTTTTCTGCAAGTTCGAGCCAGAATTTTGACTGATGAGTTACAGAACCTGAGAATCTGAATTCAGGAAAATCAACTCATCCATCAGACTGTCACTTTCAACATGTCTGAGCTCAAACAACTACATGCACGTATGAATCTGTCCACTATCGGCTTCCTTCATTTCGTTCTGAAACTATGTCTGCCACCCTCTAGAAGTTCATCAGGGATAGCGTCTCTTCGACCCGCTTGTGATCCGCAGGGTTAGCCGCCAGCTCGTAGATCGTGATTACGGGGTCCCTGCTAAGCTCGGTATATTCGCCCCGCAACTCTACAGAGTGAAAGTGGCATTCCTCCTCGTCGCCATGTATATTTTCCACAAACATCGTCAATGTATGGACGCCCGTGAACACATGACGGGGCACATGATGCTCGACGAAATCGGCGGTGGACTCTAATGCTTCAGGCATCTCTTCGTCCTCGCCGTCATCATTAAGCGAAACACCGACATGGGGGTGTGTCAATGTGAACGTTGCCTTCGTGTCATTTACATTGTCGAAATCGATATTACGGTTGTTTTTAAAGAGCTTTATCGTGCGAGGGCAGTACTTGTCGCCGTTGGTGCGTAGAATAACGCTGTGCAATTTGACACTGCCATTCAAAAAGGGTATATGGACTATGAGCTGCTCATCTGCATCGGATTTGATGACAGGCTTAAGCTGGAATCGAAGTGGGGCGGGCTTAAACAATTTAGGTAGCTCCTCCGGTGGGTTTGCTAGGTTAAGTGCGGTCACCTGGAAGAGGTTGATTTTCAGGTTGAGCAGTTGTGACGAGTATGTTTCCTCAGGAGCCACGTGATCATCGTGATCATGGCCGTCATCGCCATGGCTTCCGTGGCTGTGGAAATGTTCGTTTTCGCAGGACATCGACTATTTTTGGTATTTTAATAGACCTCAATTCAAAAGGAAGTATCGATCATTTGAACATTTGCTCTGTAGATCACGGAGAGTTGTGCGCGCACGGAATTGGAGTAGGGAACTCGTGACCAGAAGAGCTAGCAATTGAAATCGCGTGTTGGTAGGATTTCATCTCAATTTCTCCTTTTCCATTTCCAGAAGCGAAGCAAACGAAGCGGACTGTGTATTTTTTGCATTTCTGGCTGGGTTTTGTTTACTGTCTCACGGTTCACCTATTTTAGACCTGCAAGTCTGGTGACCATGTTATATTCAAGACGCACTTTCTGCTCACTTGGTCACAAAATTCCCTCAAGCTTCACACTGTTAGAATGGCGCTTGCGAAAGCAAATGAAATACTAGCTATCTGTGAGATAAGAAATGCCCTTAAGGAGCTACCGAATTTAAGCTTTTTGCCCGAGTGCTACGAGAACAGACATCGGGAAAGTAATACTTTAGCCGGCTGTCCAGTATAATGCATTCCACGTAAAAGCAAGCTGCATTTGCGTATGAAGCTCGTGGCTCCACTCAACCAAACTCGAAAATCTGTAGATTCAAGGCACCTCGAATCATGGGTATCGCTACGGAAAAGACCGGTCCATGCTTCTCGGGTTTCCTGCATGTATACAAACGCTCTCACAACTGGACTTCCAACATTTGCCGCAAACGCATCCGATCTACCGAAAGTTCCAATATATCCCAATTGGGGAAAACGGATAACAACTGGGCTGGCGCTTTCAAAGCACATCCAAGCCGAAATCCGGAAAGCCCAAATGCAGGAGAGACTTCGTGGCACAGTGTAGCCACTAGACCTCCATCAGCACACGTGCTGTGTCCAATTAGAGTCCAGCGAAAAAGAAATATTTTTGGCAGGACACTCCCTAGGCGCCATTACATCATTTCCGCAAAGTGAGCCTGGTGTTTCGCGCGAAAAGGTCACACAATTTGCAGGACCGTAGGGTGACCTTTTTTTTTTCATGTTGTTGGCACCTGCACACATGATGTTTTATCAATGTTTGGCGATCTAGATTGGCCATGGCCTGTATATACCGCTCATTTCTTTTTTTCACACACCTCAATCGTGGGCCCAACGTCATCATGACGTATGTCACATGAGTCGGGATGAAAATTTTGTTCGTAAAGAGCAGGTCGGAAAAGGGACAGGCGGGAATATGCACGAAATGCCTTATTCCGGAAATCTGGCCAGAGTCTTTGGGTCTGGTTCTGTGAGCCTACCGTGAGAATGTCCAAAAAGGACGAGTGATGATATACAGTTTCACCGTTGATTTCGGGAGACAATCTAAGAGCATAGTAGCGTCGAGGTGAAAAAGAAATGGGCAGGTGGAGCGTCATTCTGCAGGATGCGCGTCCATAGCTCGGTGGTGAAAAAGTAATGTGAAGGCGAAACATCGCCAAGGCTACTGTACTATCTGAGCATGTGCAGGCGGTTGTGAAAACGCACAAAGCTCTCTAATAATTGGCAAAGTTATATAAGGCTGGCCAATTCTCCCTGACCTTACCCGATCAGTTTTTGGTTATCTTTCCATTCAATCACTTAACTCATTTACATCACATATCTACACAACCATGACTATCGAGAAACAACCTGCCGTCTTCAACATCCACGCCGCTCTTTTCGATTGTGACGGTACTTTGGTTAACTCCACCGGTGCTATCTCCGAGTTCTGGAGAGACTTCGGAAAGACCAGACCTCACGTGAACCCAGAGGAAATCATCAGAACTTCCCACGGATGCAGAACCTTCGATGTCATTGCCAAATGGTCTCCAGAAGACGCCGATGTCGAACAAGTCACCGCTTGGGAAGGTGCTATTCCAGACAGCTTTGGTGAACACGCCAAGCCAATCCCAGGTGCCGTTGAGCTCGTCAAGTCTTTTGACGAATTCTCCAAGAACGAGACCGAGAACGGTTTGCAAAGATGGGCCATTGTCACGTCTGGTACCTTGCCCTTGGCCACCAAGTGGTTGAAGTTGATGAACATCAGAAAGCCAGACACCTTCATCACTGCAGAGAAGGTCACCAAGGGAAAGCCACACCCTATGGGCTACCAAAACGCCAGAACCGCCTTGGGCTATGGTCACGAGGCCAACAAGATTGCCGTCTTCGAGGACGCTCCTGCTGGTATCACTGCTGGTAAGGATGCCGGTGCTATGATCATTGGTATTTGCTCCACCTACAACCCAGAGAAGGTCAGAGACGCTGGTGCCGACATTGTTGTCGACGACTTGACTTCCTTCAAGATCCTCGAGTACAACAAGGAAACTGACATGTTCAAGGTGCAGGTCTCCGAGTACCACTACGCTAACGAGGAGTACTTGCAGAAGGTTTAATTTGGGAAATTTGTATATTAGTTGATTATAGAATATATCATCATTGGGAAACATCTTATTGTCGAAGTCAAGCTCGCAAGGGCTGCTCGCAGCTATCCAAACAGATGCGGGCAGCTATTCGAACTAGACAATGTAGTTTCCGCCATGACGCGTAATAACATATTTCCTAGCAGCGTTCATGCAAAAAAAGGTGTTTAACATTCACGCAAAAACAAGGACAGAAATTAAGTTGACTCAAGGATTCATATGTCGACCCGCAAGCTCTCTTTCTTGCCCTTACAACCAGGCACTGGTGGTATCGAAATGATTCGTATCTTTCTAGCTGTAAAATTCAGCGTGTATCTTTATACGTACTCGATCCACATGCTTCCAGTGGCCTCAAAAGTTCCAACCAGATGACGACGCTTGGATCGTGGAAAAAGTATTTCTTATATGGTATCCACCAATATGCTATGCCCGTTCTCTGCTTCAAGATCACTAACTTTTACTTACATATTGAGGTGTCCGTATCCAATCGATTTCCCTCGTCACATAAGGCATTTAGATACCTGCTTCCCGAACGACACAATAATGACATGGACAAGTAGTTCATGTGCGTGTTTGGTCAAGTATGCGTTTCAAATTGCAAAGTCTCTTTTTTCACTTCTGAGTGCCCACTACATTACTTTCAAGTCTTCGTGATATGGATTCGATACATTCGACCAATGTTCACATATGCCGCAATACGAAAAACTTTCTATATGAATAGTCCCATCGAGTAAATCATTCCGCCAGCTCCACCAGTGTGTCCGGATAAAAAAGCATTGGGATAGCACGAATCACCTTCAACTATAGGCCAAACTTTATGTTTTTGTTTTTTGATGCTTTGATCTTTGGGGTATGTGGGCGTATAGTATGTAGCTATTGTTGAAGTGGTACTCGTAATCCTAGAGAGTTCACCATTGGGGGAGTCTGAATGGGCTTTGACAACTTTCAAAATAATATTCCACCGGTCTTTGATCGACTTTTTCGTGATATTTTTATTCGAGCTTCTACTAAATATGTTTCTCATAGAAGATATCATGTTTAGCTGCCCTTCGAGACAAACCAAATGACTACCAAAGCAAATTGATGGGCAAGATAAGCTTTTATATCCTGAGGACAGCAAGCTTGGATGGGAATATGACAATAGAAATTATTCCGCAACTCACATTCTGCTCATTCGTGTCAATTTCGATAATTACATGAGACTACACGTACGAGAATTGTGAGGATAAAATTGCCTCAGTATTATTTTGCAGGTTCCCTATTTCAAAGCCCTCTTCTTTTAGCTCCAGAGTTGGAATAGGTTTTCGTTCAAAGAAAATCCCCAATCATGTTGGCTTTTTACCGCCTATGTGAGCCTGCATGACTCACAATCCCTAGTTCAGTAAAGCCATTTGTGGGTTTTTTAAAGTCTCGAGGGTCATGTGATTGATACTAGACAGGAACTATCTATTGTTGCAAATCATCATACAAGAACGGTTTATTGTTGGACATTGACAGACAGGAACAGTATGAATTTTCTACCCGTGAACAAATACATTGAGGATGAGTCAGGATTAACCGTTAAATGGAAATAAATTGTGATCAAATTAGCTTCAAGATGCAGAGAGTAATTGGGTTCGAGCTCACGCAAAAACTCGTACACATGAATTCGCTTAGCCCGTCATGAAAACCGTCCATACTTGTTCTCAAACACAAGGTTTATAATTTAATTTCGCTAATATAACTAAACGTGACTATTGAGGAAGTTATTAGCTTCTTACCTCACAAACAAAGGGGAGGATTACATGGGCTATAGATCGGAACACTTGGGGATATGACCGAGTGTATTATCATGCTACATATCATCATTCAAGAAACAGCTCCTGAAACCCGTTCAAGTCCAAGCATTTGTGTTCGGTGTTTTTTTTTCTCCCCTATTCTCAGTGTATAATGAGTGTTCCCAGTGCATGCCTCATAAATGCAGCTGGGCTGGTTTTCATGTCAGAGTGATACGGGACGAATACAGGAAAGACGGGACAAAAAAAGGGTTGCAACGAGAATTTTTTGCCAAGTTTTCCTCCCATATGATAAACGATGGTATATCACTAAATATGTATGAAAGATCATCTACAACACAGTCATTTTAGTCATGGAATGGGAGGTCAGACGAATCTTGATACCAAGCTAGCCAAGCATGTCTCTTATTTATCTATAAGCTCTTATTTGGCAAATTTTGCTAAATTTTACAATTCTTTGTTATATGTTTCAAACCTGTCGGAAAACATGAGATTCCAATTTGATCTTTCACGTACTTTCAAACCCAGTGAGCCCTTTTGATGGGCTGGAGACTCGTGCGCACAAACACTATAAGACGCAACATAAAACTACCACGATTATACAACACACAGAGGTTTGATCAATTTTAAAAGAAGCTGGGTAGAATTTAATTCAGAGAAATTGAACATTTTTCATTTTTCATTACAGATCTCGGAAGAAACTGGTTTTTACCGTCCTAATCAGTGCCCATAAATATTGCTTTACTTTTAAATTCTGGGTAATTATTAAGAAACATTGAATGATATTTTCTCTCTTCGTCTTCAATACTTATCTCTCAGCGAATATACTATGTACATGTACTTTATGAACATATATTCAATGGTCTTATTCTTTTTCTCGCAAATCCATAGACTCGCTTATACTATATATCATTCGGCAGGCACTTTCCTATTCAACGCGACAAAAGTTATCTAAACACAAGTAGCAACAGTCTCGACAGATTCAAAATCTCCGGGAAATTGATTACACAGTCCAAATCAAGTATACATGCCTGAGTGTGACATACTTTGTTACTGTAGAGATTGAACAGCTACAATTGAAATCCAAGGCCTTCTCAGTGAAATCCTGTAAGCGCACTAATGGACGGAAAAACGGTTTAAAATTAACAAATATCCCCTCACATTGTGGTGAAGGTCTTAAGATCAGATGAGTTAGATGCATACTCTTGACCAAGAGATCACTCTCAACAATTTTTAGAAGCCCTTGATTTTTTTCTTTTCTGTAGTGGGGCGCCCCTTCATTTGGTGCTTTTTTCCAACTGCATGTTTTTGCGAATAAGTAATAAACACTTGCATCTTGTTGACAATCGTTCCCGATTCGGGTATATGCTTCGCATGAAATTTACCCTTGATAAAAAATGATTTCTGCACCAATCGATCTGTTTCCATTCTTTGCAATTAGACAATGGAGAAACTGCCATCAAAAGTGCTTTCACCAAGAAATCGGAATATATCCCAGTCCACCGGCTTGGCAAAGTTCAAACTATCGCCGAAAAGAGCCCATCTAGAAAGTACAAAGGACGCATGTGCGCTTCTGTATGAGCCTCCCAAATTGAGCCACCAATTCAATGCCGAGTTGGAAAGGAAGGCTTCATTCCATAGAGCAAGAAGTGTATTTGATGGCTCCCCACTTAGGAAGTGTGGAGAGAAACAAGCAGAATTCCCCGATATACCAGGGCTGCTTAGTACGAGGCCAAAGGCCAAATCACCATTTAGACCAAGTTTTACAGTCGAAAGAGCAACTGGCAACACGATTAAAGAGCAAAAATCTGTAAAAGAGCCCTCCAGAAATGATCTTTTATTCAAATACGCCGAAAAGCAAACGAAACTATTAGAGCTACAGAGACAGAAGGAGGTTCTTGAATTCGAGATACTTGAGATAGAAGCCCAACTTCAGAAGAATATAGGCCAGGATACTTTCGCCAAAGTTCACACTGAGCCAAACACGCTTAAGAATAAAGTCAGTACGCTTTTCCAAAGTGGGCCAGATTCTTCTCTGCTAAGGAAAACTGCATCAACAATATTCAGTACAAACACGGAAATATCGAAAGAAAGCACTCCTTTCTTCAGCCCAAAGCTTTCAGCACCAAGACAAAACTCACCGGTTGCATCGCTTAGAAAGACAGCATCGTCGATATTCACGCCCCCAGCAAACTTCATGCCTAACCACGAGTTGAAAAAAAAAGCATCTGCGATGCTCAATAACAAGTTCATGAACGATGTGCGTGATAAAATTGATCAGCAACAAAATGAGTTTGAAGAGTTTACGAAGAAGGGCACGGAGTTTGCTCGCAATTTTATTACCTCGCTATCTCCAAAGAAGGAGCCTGAGCCTAGAGAGAGTATCCTTGCAGACTCATCGTTCTCAGTCGACAACTTGGTTAATTTGAGCATCGCAGACAGGTCTGTGCTTCTTAGTGATGATGAATACGAAGGAGAAAACATTCTAGATGACTCTGAACAGTCCGCGATTCATATTGACGACTGCGACAGTGATGACAGCTATGCAGCCGATGAGTATTGAGTAGGACTATCTTGCTGGGGAGTGTCACGGGCGCTTGGAAGAAAGTGCTAGCCAGAAGTTATGCTACATACTTAAATCTGATTCATTAAATAATAAATAATTATGCGTAAACTCTATGAGAATGAAAGTGAAGGATTTACTCTTCGTCCGTCCAGTTCCTGGCTCTTTCCACACCTCTCTCCCATCTTCTCCAATTCTTTCTCCTCTCTGCATCAGCCAACTTGGCCTTGAAAACATTATCGTCACTTCCGCTGCCGGAAATATCGCTCACGAATTCATCAAAATTCTTCCAAACACGCTCATTTTCGTCCTTGAATGATAAGCCCGCTGCAATAGCGGCACCCAAGGCGGTACACTCAGAAACCGCAGCTCTTTTCACCGTCACGCAAGGACCCAATATGTCCGCCTGGATTTCCAAGATCTCATTGGCTTTCGACATACCTCCATCGACAGCGAGTGTCGAGAGAGGCTTGGCCTCGTTTTGGTTTGTCAAAGCCTCCTCCAAGAAGTCCTTTGAGCAGCCCGCATCTTCAGCCATGGCCCGCAAGATGGCTCTCACCTGGAAACACACACCTTCTAAAGCGGCGCGGGCAATGTGGGACGAGGACGTGTATTGCGTCATTCCAAAAATGGTGCCACGAGCGCCTCTGTCCCAATATGGTGCGTAAAGACCCGAGAAAGCGGGGATAAACAACACGCCACCAGAGTTGTCGACTTGCGATGCCAATGGCCCGATATCTTTTGCGTCCGCGATAAGCTTCAAGTTGTCACGCAACCACTGAATGATGGAGCCCGCCACGGCAATGGAACCCTCCAAAGCAAAATGCGGGTCACCGTCCTCGCCTTCGAGAGTAGGGAACCAGAACCCCAAGGTGGTCAAGGTTCCGTTCTGCGAGATCAACTTGTTTTTTCCAGTATTGTAAAGAAGAAAACAGCCGGTTCCGTAGGTGCATTTGGCGGAGCCGGGCTTGACGGCCAATTGCCCCACCAAGGATGCGGACTGATCGCCCAAACACCCGCAGATGGGCACGTTGTAGATGGTTTTGAGGATGTCGTAGGCCTCCTGGGTGATCTTGTTGTGGAAGCCCAAGTTGGAGAGGTTGGGCGCGACAAACGAGCCGTAGAACTCCGACGAGGACACGATCTTGGGCATCATGATCTTTTCGCGGTCAATGCCCCAGTACTCCAACAACTCCTCGTCGTAGTCGCGCGAGTCGAGGTCCATGAACGCAGTGCGCGACGCGTTGGTCACGTCAGTCACGTAGGTGTGTTCCTTGGTCAAGTGGTAGATGAGCCAGGTGTCCACGGTTCCAAACATCAAGTTCTCGCCCTTCTCGTACTCTTCTCTGATGACGTCGTCGTTGTCTATGAGCCAGCGCAACTTGGCGGCGGAGAAATACGTCAGGAGCGGCAAGCCGGTCTTCTCGCGCATCTTGTCCTTGGTCTCCTGGTCGGTCATGTTCTCCAAATGCTGCACGATCTCGGCCGTTCTGGTGTCGGTCCACGTGATACCGTTGCTCAAGGGCCGGCCGGTTTTCTTGTGCCACACGATGGTGGTTTCACGCATGTTGGCAATGCCAATGCACTTCACGCGGTACTTGACCTTGAGGTCCGGGTTCTGGTTGATTTTGCGCAACGTGATCAAGCACGCCACGAGACATTGCACGGCATTGGCCAAAATGTGCACCGGCATACACTCGACCCAGCCGGGCTGCGGGAAGCGCAACGTGGGCCCGACGGAGGCCGCGTTGTTCTCGATTTCAATGTGGTCGCCAATCAGAATGGCGATACCCTCGGCGGTAAAAATGGGCTCGTTGTTGCGTGCAAGCGAGGATCTTCTGCGGAACTGGTCCGTGTTCAGCGATTCCGCAGGAGCCTCCGAGGCCGATGTGGAGTACTCGATTTGATGCTTGGCAACCTCGCTGCCGTCTTTGGCAAACAAAATGCACCGGGCAGAGGTGGTTCCGATGTCAATGGAGGCCACTACTGGCAAGGCGGGGGCCGTCGATGAGCGACGGGGCATGGTGTGGGTGGAGGAAGAAAAAGGCGCTGGGAAGTAGTTGGCAATGTTTTGCTCCAAGGCGGCACAGGGCTGAGCAGATCAAAGGGGTCCGTGGGAGGGTGGAATAAAAAAGGTGGTTCTGAAGCAATGGCAGAGTAGAACAGATGTATTAAGTATGCACGCAGCCGAGCGCGGTTGCTGCCGGAGATATGCTGGGTCCCCCAGAACAAAAAAAAACGCTGGAGCTGAGGCGGGGTCCCGTGCATGCGCGCCCTTTTCTAAGCGAAGGACCCGGCCTTGAGCGTGGCTCATCTGGCACTGAGTGACCGGCACGACGGTTGCTGAATGTGAAGCAAGCACCGAGTGCCCCTTTGAATTTGGGTCTTGCCGCCGGCGAGCGGCAGGAGTGGGGCTGAGTCCAGCTAGTTCTATTTTTTGTTTTTTTTTTAGTGGAATATTGCGTTCATCTGGAAAGGGCCGGCAGTTGACGGGGTTTGGGACATGTGTTCCACAGGCCCTGTTTCTGGTCTTTAATTGGGCAGTGGCGGCGCGCAAACAAAGTTTGGGCCGGGCGTAAAAAATGGGGGAGCACGGCTCGGAGCCACGCAACGGCCTATCAGTAGCCCACAGACATTGCGGAAACGGGCCATGATTTCCCATTTTTTCCTTGCCCTTTTTCTTCGTCTTTACCTCTGCTGCGCCCCCATCTCTTCCTTGGAATTCCAGCACCCATTGCGGATGTTTCACACGTGGTATGTTGCTCTTGTTTTTTCCATCGCCGTGTTCTGAGCCCGGGCCGCGTATGTATGCGAAGATGTGGGGGAAGGAAGTGAGTCTAAGACACTATTTCCCGGAACGCCATGGCACGGCACCCACGGCCGGATCCTAAAAGCCGTGCTTACCTTTCCAAAACCAGAGAAGAGTCTAGCGACGACGGGGTGCATTTTTTTTTTTTTGGACAGCACAATACATGCCCTGGCATGGAGGTATTGGTGACCGTTGATTTGCATATTTCCTCCCACAGAGGACTTGTCATCCGACATTGAAAAGCTTTTTTTTCTGTCAGACTGCACCAGTGTCTTCGTGCATAAAAAAAAAAGTCCAAATCATTCCACATTTTTCTATGAGTGACCCAAGAAACTTAGGGTCTCAGATCTGGCGCCTGTACCCTCTGGAACCAGCATCTCGGAGCCGCATTTCGGCCATTGATGCCTGGCCAATACTTGCGAATCCATCTGATCAGCGGCCCGCGAATGCCTTCCGAATCGGCCCGGCGATTATTTGTAAATATTTTTGGGCCGTTCATTTTCGGAATCCGCTTGTACTACGGCACCGGTACCATTCTGAGTCGGTTGGTGGCCACCGCTAGTCTGTGCCCGATTCTCACCAGCAAGCTTGGGTGATGTGCTTTTGAAAGAAGTACGAGACCACCGTAGTTCGCAACATGGAAATTTGTAATTTGTGCTCAGATTTCACGATTTCTTATTGTCCATGATACTGTTCCAAAGATAAAAGGATGCAATTAGCCTTTTTCAGCGCTGATCATGTACAAACACTGCATTATCAATTTACCCCATGCGCAGTTCAAAGACTCAAATCGCGTGTTTCGACTTGATATCCGAGACCGTCACAAAGAATTTACTTGATGGCGCTGCTCTTGAATTTGCCGATAGCCTCGGTGCCCGTAGCCAGGAAGACTTACTTTCAGAACGCAAAGATGGGAATCCCGCTTTTCCTCAGACTTTGTAGTTCCGCCTAAGATTACTCATCAACTAGTCATTTCGGCATATTCTTTGGTTTGTTCCAGGTACTCTGTGCTCGAGGTGCAAGCTGCAAACATTTGGTGTTCCCAATAATAGGCATCTGCGCTTCCTATAGCTCTTCTTTTGTCCAAAAGTCGCTTAACTCTCCAGAAAAAGGAATCGTTTTTCAATCATTGCCCTTTATTGGAACAACGGGCAAATTCCTGATTTTAGAATCGACTCTTGATAAATGCAGAAAACATGAGGGCAGGAAAAAGCTCTGTTCTTGCATGGTCACAATACTATTCTCCATTTCGAGGTGAACTAGCTTCTCCACGAATTTCAAACCACAATGTCTAAATTGTATATTGGTTGTCTATTTGTATGCTAAGGCTTTTCACAATTGCTCACCATCGGTAAACTGACGGCCTTTCACGAACTCCAAGTTTTCTCCCGCATAGCTTGTGAGAGCAGAAACTTCAACGGTGGCACCTTCAGGCACAAGACCCCCATTTTCTCTGACCCACTTGGTGCCCAATTCTAAGTAATGCTTCTTACATGAGTTGGGGTTGTCGTTAGAGGCGGCGTTCGAGTTTTTGAGAGGACTGAACTCCTCGGAACGCTCGACTTCCAAACACCCAAATTTCGCCAAGTCCACCGACGAGAATACATCGAAGATAAACTGCTCCAACTTGATGCCGTTTGGCTCCGTGGGTTTCACATACTCGCCCGTTTCCATGTTGTAGCAAGGGATCTTTTTCTTGGCAATATGGAAAGGGAGAAACTCTTGCGACGATGTCCACTTTTCAAGCATCGTGTCGAGCAAATCAACGGAGTAGTAGTGGTTTACGATGTTTGCTGCGCGGAGGTACAACTTACTAGCATCTTGAGGATCAGTTTTCTGGGCCAAGTCTTGCGAGATCTCGCTGTATTCAATGACACATGGCTTTTGAGCATTCTTGTCAAGCACAATGAGCCCCACAGACTCGAATGCATCCCTCTTTCTGACGGCTTTTGTGGCCAATTCGAACTTGCGCTCGATAGCAAAACCCAAGAACACCGGGTCAGCCACTTTGACAAGACAGTTGTCGACGCAGTACATATGCACATGCTTAATGCCCTTGTTCTTCATGTCCTGCAAAATCCCAGCCTTTTGGATGGCCTTATACAAGCCACCATTCCCATCTGGAGACTCGCAGATAGACGACGGAGACTGCAACAAGATCTTCTTGCCTTCTGCGTCGAAACAGGGCAATGTTCCTTGGTTAAAAAACGTGACCTGCTCTTCTTTCAAGCCGAAGTAGCCGTTCTTCTTGAAGTATCCCTCTGTGGCGTCTCTCGTGGGGCCAGAGGTCATGATGTACCACTGCACGACAGCGGAGTCCGAAGCCAAAGCCTGGATTTTGCGGATTTTCTCTGCCTGAACCTGGAAAAGGGATTTTCCAGAGGGCAAGCCAACATCGAAACAGCCCTTTGGATCCAGCGATCCTAGACGCGTGCCCTGTCCACCAGCCAAAAGTAAAACGGCCACTTCGTTGTGTGCAATCGCAGCAAGGCCACGTGACTCCCAATCCTTCGCCTCGGCGGCGTTGTGGTCCAACACAGATCCAGTGGACGTTGCCGGAAGCTGGGCGTACTCACGTGACGCAGAAGTACTAGCTGAGTGGCTGATGGCGCTTTCCACAGTGTCAACGAGGCGCTTGGGGTTGTCAATCTGCGAGAGCTGTGCATAGAAGGAGTCCTTGTCGGCTCCAGACAAGGCATTATAGGCCCGGGTCAAATGGTCTTGTTTCGCTTGTGTGAATGATTCCATGATCTATAAAAAGTTAGAGGGACTCAACTGAAGGGACTTATCGATGGAATGAACGAAAAAAGGGAAACAAGGCTGAGGGATACAGAGGCGCTGTAGCTCTATAAAAGACAGTGGTGGCCCGGCGGTTCTGGATGGAGACCAAATGACTTGAGTCAGCAAACGCAATGGCAGAGTAGAAACTTCGAATCAGTATTTAAGCGAACTCAAGCATACTCATGCAGGCGCGAGGTTTCTACACACGGCCATGCAAACCGTCCTATTCCTAATATAGGCTGGACAAACCTTCGGTAGAGTTATGTGGGCGGGCCATTTGCGTTATCTATTGCGAGGCATGTTTTTTTTATTCGGAGCCCACACAACCGTACTCTTGGAAGCCTTTGCCGCTAGTTCCTCTGGAAGGGATGCGCTACTGCCCACTGGGTCACGTGCCCCAAGTATCCGAGTCTCGCCATGCAATTTTGCCTATTGCGGTGCGGACGCCATGAAAAGCTAATATGCCATATTGAAACTGTGAACGAAGCAGGATGGCCGATGCGATGGCCTACGATTGGCCGATGGTCACCATGCGCGAGGCGAAGAATAGTGTACCTTATGCTGCTTCTGCTTATGGCCAACAGTATGAATCAGGCTCAAAAGTCTTGCTACTTCAATGTGGAAAGGCTTTGAAGACGGCCGCGCAGAGTAGAAAGGGCCACAGGAGATATGTTGCAAGTTACATGGGGAATCTGAAAGAAAATAAGTTGTGCAACATGATTGTAGAATGTACCGCATGGTCCAAATATAGCTCCTAAACACTGACGTCACTTCTTCGACGAACCAATATTTCATCCTCACTACAGCCTATTATTAGCCCTCAGCTACGCCCCAAGAGGATGTGATCAAGGCGACCCAGGAAGCCCTCTCCTTTTGAATACAAGACAACCCAGTTGGACCGCAATACAAATGAAACGGAATGCAACATGAATCAATTGGAATCTCACCAGGTGAATTGTGATACAGCACAAAAGAATTGGAAACCCACCAAATGAATTGTGACACAACACAAAAGAACTGGAATCCCACTAAGCGAATTGTGACACAACACAAATCAATTGGAATCCCACCAAGTGAATTGTGATACAACAAAAAAGAATTGGAATCCCACCAAATGGCTTGTGACACAACACAAATGAATTGGAACCCCACCAAATGGATTGCAACACAGCACAAAAGAATTGGAATGCACAAAGCAGCTGGAATACAACACAAATCAATTAGAATACATATGTAAACATATTCGCTACCATGCTTGCGGTTGGCTGAACTACACCAAAAGAGCCACGGCAGCAGCGACGGCACACGTGAAGACCATCGCCGGAGTGACGGCGGAGGCTCCGGATCTCGACGAGCTGGAGGACGAGGAGCTGGACGAAGAGGTCGTGCCGGACCCAGAGCCCGTGGACGTGGAGGTCGAGCTGGACGTGGATCTGGAGCCGGAAGTGGTGGACGAGGACTGGATGGTGCTCGAGGGCGACGAGCAGTTGTAGTTGGCGCCCAAGAATTTGCCGTCGTCGTACAAGGAGTCGAAGGCCTCACACGAGAAGTCCTCGGACGTGGACAAGACGGTAAAGTCTCCCTCGACCTCGTCCAAGCTGGGCATGGTGAAGTTGCCGAAGGCACCCTCAATGTCCACGGCACCCTTGACGGTCTCCAAGCTGTCGAGGTTGATGTCCAGCAAGAGCGAGTTGTTGAACACGTGGAACTCGCCGTTGATGGACGTCAAGTTGGCCAACTCTAAGGTCTCCAAGTTGTCGTTGGCAAAGACCTGCAACGACGCGCCCACGGTGGTCAAGGACTCGAACAGCACGGCGTCGAACGAGTTGTAGCCCACAATGAACGAGCCGTTGACGGTCAGCAAGTTGGAGATGTCAGCAGCAGCGACGTCCTGAAGCGTGAAGTTGGCGGCCCACTGCAAGCTGCCCAAGCGCACAACGGCGTCGTCGTTGTTGAAGGACAAGGTCAAGCCGCCCGAGACCAGCTCCAAGCTGGACAAGTCGATCAACGTGATGTTCTTGTTGTTGTTGACGTTCAACACGTGGATGGACGAGAACTGCAAGAGGTTGTCGATCGACGAGAGCGCCGTGTCTGACAAGGTGAGCGAGGTCACGTCGGCCAAGCCCAGGCCCAAGTTGAGCGACGCGAGCGAGGGCAACGACACGAACAGCAAGTCCTCGGCCATGTTCAACGCGGCAAAGTCGACGCTGTGCACCTGCGTCAATGCCGTGAAGGCCAACGAGCCGGTCACGTTGACCAAGCTGTTGAAGTTGACGCTGGTGAACGAGCTGGAGTTGAAAAGAGTCAAGTCGCCGGCCACGTTCTGCACCCCGCTCAAGTCGACAGAGGCAATGTCGTCACCGGTGATGGTGATGTCGCCGCTTAAAGTGGGGCACGCATTGAGAGTCAGCACGCCGGACGCGGCCGAAATCGTGGTGGAGAACGAGCACGAGTCCGAGCTGGCAGCGGCGGCGAGCGACGCCAAGAGGGGGAAGACAAGGTGCTTGAGCATTTCGTGATCTTAACTCAGGTGGAAGAGAACGTGAGAAGGGAGAGACCGAGGCGAAGCGAGGGGAAGAAAAAGAGAAGAGAGAAGAAAAAGAGGAGCAAGACGGAAAAGATAAGAAGGAGAAGAGAGAGGAGGAAGGGAACGGAGGACAGCGGCAGCAGGCGCCGGGCAGAGGACCGGCAGACGTGGGCTTTCTGTACGACGGGGCGGCATTTGCCCATGCCTCTTTTGGCCCGCGAAGCCGCAGGCTTGGTGCTGGGGCCGCGGGCGTATGTGCACGCAACGCGTTCTGTTTTGTTTTAGTTGCTTCATTCCATTGTGCTCCGCTCTGCGGGCGCGCCCTCGAAGTACTATGCGCCCGTTCTCTGATGCTTGGCGAGGCACCGTCCTAGGGCCGGGCAGGGCCGCGGGGCGCGCGCCCAACCTGGCTTTACGGCCCCAGAATTTCCCACGGCCCCACCACTTCATGCACTGCTCGTCCATGGCGGCGCACAGGCGGCGTGGGCCCAAACCCCGGTCACGTGCCGCGGCGCCCGGGCCGCACTGATACACGAACCATACCGCGGCACCTTGATTGGCCCCGGCATACCGCGCGGCGCCCCAGATGTCTGAATGCGGAATCCCGGGCCATTAATCTCGCCAGCCTGTCAAGAGGATGTATGGGGGCGCTTGCGTTGCGGGCTCGGGTTCACAACCCAGACTATGTGCGTCCTGCACAGCACGCGCACGCTAGACGGCCTAATTAATTGTAGTCTTACTGCTCGGTCCGTATACCCCATTAAGTCTCGTCAATTCCTGTAAAAGAAAGAAAAAAGACCGCTGGTGTTGGAGTCCTTCTGGCCGTGGAGGACACCCCGGCCCGGCACCACGGCGGCACGTGACGTGCATACATGGAAGGGCGTTGTTGCAATGTGCTATGCCTGCCCAGTGAGCTCGGGCCATGGCCTCATAACACCGAGCTCCACTTGCGGCGGAGCAGGTGCAACATTCTCAAAGCAAAAAGACAAAAATAAAAGAACGCCTTGTGCGCTTTGTTCTTTCGGTGGTTTGTTCTTTCGGTGGTTTGTTCTTTCGGTGGTTTGTTCGGCGCTTTGTTCTGGCGCTTTGTTCTTCCAAGAATCCACCGAAAAGATGTAGGACTGTGCACATCCCATGCATGCTGGCCAATATTGCTGGTGCGACTCTGTCATGTCCCCAAGACCAGACATGCCTTTCTACTTTTTTTTTGGTGGCCGAGGACGCGTGTAGAAGCCCGACTTAGTGCCCCGGGATAGTGGTTGCAGCACGTGTACAGTGAAAACTGCAACGCGTTTCCAAGCCAATTGAGAGTTTTGTCTGCGACGTGTCCCAAGATGGGGTTTTTTCTTCTAAGGTTACCAGAGTGGCTGCACAGGAGGAAGCACTTGCGGGAATGTGCTCTGTCGGAATGAACTTGCTTCTCGAATACAATGACGGATGGTTGAACGGGGGCGGGAGTCAAAATTATTTGAACGCTGGAGGTCCAGCTTGTGGTCGTCTCTGCCGGCTCCGGCACTCGCGCAGTCTCACAACCTGTAAACACAACTCGTGGGAGTAAAGCCGTGATACTTATTGTTGCCGGGCCCGGCTCATTAATCTTGTTTGTCCGGAAGTACAATATTGCATCATACATGCGCCTAGCCCAACAACACATGGTCCCCGTGGATGAGCTCTAGGGTTTGGGAATATAACGCCGACTGTAGTCAAAAGCATCGATCCTTAATTAAAGGGCTTTTGGAAAGCACGCGGCTCCATGTTGCTATGCTTGACCTAGGGTATCGAGAACAAATAAATAGTTATGGTCGGGTAAGTTTTCTGAGCTCGTAGCAGTATAGTATATTACAAGCTCACAGGAGTGCAACGGGAAATCCCCAGCAGATGGTTGCAAGAGTGCCTTCACTCGGCCGTGATTCGCGGAGAGTGCTTGAAGTTTCAGCAGTTGATAGCTTTTCGGCAGCCGTCTCAAGGGGTCGCAACTGCTTTGGGTTCAAAATCCTGCTCGGAAAGAGACCGTGTGTTGTTATGGCACCTCTCGAAATTAGACAGCTTCTTCGCACTCAGCTTTAGCCTTGAATAATCGGATGGTCGAGTTTCCGAGCCACTCCTAATTAAACCAGCCGTCTTTTTTCGGGCGCCATTTTTCTAGACAACACTTCTGATGAAGAAACACTGTCCAGATTAGTCGTAGCCACGAGTGATTGCGCCGATGCCTGGAAAGGTTCAAACAGTCTGTATATTCCCATGGTTCAGCCGGCCTACTAAATCACCGCTCCATGTCAGTGCGGGAAATTTCGCATGTCCTCCAGAGCTTTGACAATACACGTGATTACATGCTAGCTCTAGTTCAGCCAAGAACCAAGATTAGCAATGCCCACCGGGCAGCCGCAGAAAGGTCACCGAAGCACCCAGGAAAATCCTAGCTGGAACAGAGATGCCCCGGCCCGACTGGCGGTCCTGCACACGCGGCTTTGTCTTGTCGTGTTCTCAACGCATCTTGCACCCAGCGGACGAAATCAGACTGCCCAGCAACGGCACATGTCGCAAGCATCAGATTTGATACATCACAAATGATACACCACAGTTAATACATTACAATCAAGACATTACAATCAAGACATTACAATCAGTACATTACAATCAATACATTACAATTAATACATTACAATAATACATTACAATCAATACATTACAATTAATACATTACAATTAAAACATCACAAATAATACATCATTGATCATCACAATTATTACACCATGAGTTGCCTCCCACTAATAGACAACAGCCAGGGATTTGAAAGTGCTCACAATAATTCTGTTCCAAATTTTTAGACCCCTCATGTAGGGGCCTCTGCCGCGCCTGCTCCGAGAGTCTCAAATCCTAGAAGGGAAAAATGGCACACCCGCGCGTATTTGTTTTTCTTCCCAATCCGTCGCCCGCAACACGCACCATCTAACATCTTGTGTTGTGACTGTTTCTGGCTTTGCTACTTACACCAGATCAGCCATGGAGATCACCACACACAAGGAGGCTTCTGGCGCCGCTGATTTGTTCAAGCACGAAAACGGTATGTGGCGGTTTGCCATCTAACAGGGTGTCTGTTCCCACGCCTATTAACTGGGCCCGGCCTCCGCAGCACTCGCTTCTAGAAATTCAAGTTTCGGGCCGTCTGATGCACATTGTTGCCCTTGGCCCACTTGTAATCTCTGCTATATATCCAGCTTTTTCAGCAACTGTATACTAACGTCCCAGATTCAGTGGACATGCTTCTCCAGGAATTGAACCACGATGGACCTGCTCCCGAGCCTACAAATCCCGACGGCTCATCGCCTGACGAATCCCCCGTAAAACCGCTCAACTACCAAACACAAAAACAGCCTGGATCTCCGCGCGACCAGAAAACGGCCCTGGGCCCGAATGTCACCGATCGCGAGTATCACGCAGACCCGCTCAGAAAGGACTTCAACTCTTCGTCAGACACATACGTCAGTGACCACGACGAGGGGGAGAATCTCAGCCGCAATCTTCAGGAGGGCGAGGAGGCCGACATTCTTTCCGGAAACGACCCCGAGCTGCAGGAGCCACATGCAACAGCCGTGTCCCCAAGCAAAAGCATCATGAAATCGTCTGTTTCATCGGGCTCTCCCAAAAAGTCGGTGGTTTTCCAGCCTTCCCTTGACACATTCCACACATACACGCCCAAAGACCCGGAGCCGTCGCCGCCAGCGGAACCCGCGGCGTTTTTCAATCATCTGTGGCAGGAGGTGGACCAATTAGCCACGTCTCACGACACCACTGCCTCTCCCCCGGCACCGCCTCCACATACTTCCAGCACGATAACCGGACTCTTGACCCCGAGCAGGGATTATCTTTCGAGCGACGACGAGGCCAGTTCCCAAGAGTCTGCGGATGTCGACTCGATGAGGAAGCCTGTAAACAGGCATTCAAGCTTGGCTTTGGAGGAGAACCCTGATGTTTTCTTGACGCCTGCGTTGCAGTCCCAAAACGATGACTTGGACAATCACCTCGAGCAGTTGGAAAAGGCCAAGACGGAAGAAACCGGCGTGAACATCCATCGTTTATCCTACCATATGGAGGACTACAACCCACGCCTCGAGAACAACCCCTTCAGTGCTTTGTCTAACTCGCTGAAGCTATATGTTAACTCTGCGCACTCCTCGCAGTCATCCCTCCAGTCATTGATGGACTCCAACAGGCAGCTTCCGGCAGAGACAATAGAAAAGAAGTCGAGAGGAATCCAATTCAATGATGGCATAAAAGGCTTCCCGGATACCGTGGCCAATCTGTTGATACCTTTACCAGGTGCAGAAGAAGATTCGCTATCTGACTCTTCGAGCGTCGGGTCTCAGTTCTCGTTCCTGCAAATGAAGACGGAACCAAGCCGACATCCTGATCATTCTTACGACCAATCCTACAATCTGACTGAAAAGTCCATTCTCAACTTGTTAACCTCAGCATCCAACTTGGACCTTTCTGATGGGCAACTTATAAAAACCGAGCCGCATGAGGAAAAAGCAAGTCTGAACTTGAAGCAAGAGCCCATCGAACCGAATTCTACCGAGAATAACACCATAATGACTCCCCGGTCCATCAAATCAGAATCTCCAGAAATTGAGGTCAAACAGGAACAGGAGAAGGAACTGGCATTTTCACCTGAACCTCTCTCGTCAGACGAAAAGGACAATGAAACATATGTTAAAAGGGAAGAACAAGTGAATACTCCTCAGGTCAAATCGGCGCCTGATGAAAACGAGGTGCTGGAAGGATGCGATGACGAAGTCAGAATCAAGCCGGAGCTAGATGAGACCAATTGGCCTTTATTAGAGTCGGCCAATGCAGTTGATATCAAGCGAGAAGAACAAGAAATTGTGCCTTCCCTCGAGAATATTACGAGCAACAATGGCTTGAAAGGTAATGATTTTTCCAATCTGTTCGAAAATGAAAGTGAGTTGGATAAATCTGACTATGAGCACTCCTTTGCTTACGTCGGTAATGATGTTTCGATTGAAGCTCACACATTCCAAGTCGACGAGAAAGCAGTTATTCCAGGTCCTGTCAAGTTAGTGCCTTCTGCTGACAACCTATCGCATTCCCCAACTTGTGAGCAGGAGCCTGTTGCTGAAGGCCAAGCTACAGGGGATGGCCCAGAAAGCAATATCTCCGAGAACGATTCCGGAAATGTCATTCGAACAAAATTAGAAACTGAACACCACCATTTTGCGAGGAATTCATATTCGTCTGACTCAGCTGATCTGGATGAGTACAAAGACTCAGTCGAGTACTCTTTTCAGAGTTTAGCGCCACCGCGATCAGAAGTAAAAGAATCTCAGCTGCCACAGAAATTGCCTTGTCAAGCAGACGACATAGCAGATGCATACGAAAAAAGGAACCCTTCTTCAATTCAGGATTATGACAGTAGCGTCCTAGCAAACTCATCCAACATTACCCCTCCTATGAACATGAAATTGCCTGTTACTGACACTGGTGACGATGCATTCGCTGATTTGACCCAGAGGCTCAACGAGAATAGCAAGTCTTTTGAAGAATCATTATCAGCAGAGCATGATGTGGTAAAAACCCCTGCGAACTTTCTTTCAATTTGGCATTCTCAGCTGTTGGGTCGCCGGGTCAAAAAGCCTGTCTCAACCTTTTACAAGGTGCCATCTATTCTGACATACAATACTGCTGATCTTTCACAAGGTGAAAAATACCACATACCGCCTTCTTTGCAGCCCAAAAAGTTCACGGACGTCAATCTTGTCTCCACCAGAGTCGTGAGTCTGTCCTTTGAAGACTTGAATGTTTCAGCCTTCTTACCTGAACTTTCCCAAGACTCTGGTATTGAAGATCATTTTAGAAGCTTAATGAAGGATCAGGCGAAATTGGAGATTGAAGGGTCTGTTGGTAGTATGAACGGAGAAAACTCACAGCGGAGAAAAAGTCTCGAGTCTCTGAGCTTCCTTTCGGACCTCGAAAGAACAAATTCTCGTGAGAATTTCGCAATGGCCCTGAGGAGAAAATCGTTGAATGGAACTTTGAGACCTGGTGTGATTCTGAATTCTCGAAAAGATAGCATAAGCACCAAGAGATCCAAGTTCCACGTGCCGTCTTTTGAAATTAAGAGATCCAACTCGATTTTGTCACCCAAAAACCAGTACAATGACATATTCCTGGATGGAAAATATGTTGCCCCAACTATAAAAGCACCCGGAATGAAGACCTTGCCAAGCTTGGATCGTGATGATGTGAAAAGGATCATGCAAATGAAGCAAGCCATGTCCTTGGAGGAGTATTCAGGGCTAAAAAAAGTCGGTGCCCCCGTGTCTGCTACTCAGCACAAGCCCAGCAACAAGCATGCAGCACTTCAACAGCGTGCTTCAATATACTGCGATTCATTGGCCTCTAACTCTGCTACTGCAGCTGCAAAATTCCGTGTCCATCCCCAAGGTATGAATAGACCGCTTGTTGACCCGTCTCAAGTTCTCACAAACATTTCTGATGAATCCAGTGCAAGGAGAAGGCCTTTGAGCTTCGCTCCGCATGGGTTTGATCAAGGTCCCAGGAAGCCTGTTGTGATGAGTGATCAGGAAAACCATCTCTCAAACGAGGAGGTCAACCAGGTTTCGAACACTCCAGCAATCGAGGTCAACGACTCGGATGAAACGTCACTCCCTGACCCATTCCCTAATTTTGTCAGTTTGAGAAATTCACCTATCAAAGACAGTGTTAAAGGTCTGCCCTCGAAAGGCAAAGAATCACCCATGCATGTGAGCAGAATTTCTCCACAAAATCCATTTTGGGTGAGTGGGGACGAAACCACGTCGCATATCAATACCTCAGAAGCTCATAGCAAACGAGTCCTGACAGGGCTCATTGACAAAGGATTGAAAAACAAGGTTTTTGTGAAATCATGGACAGAAATAAGTCCCGAAAGAAAGCCTGTTGCAACGTCATCCGATCAGAACACGAAGTCAACCAGAAGTTCCCCAATCAAAATCAGCTCGCCAGTGAAAGTTGTGAAGCAGAATGGGTCAGTTACAGGCATTGTGCTTGATCGAAAAACAAAGGATGTCAAGATTTCCAACGAAATCCCAAACAAGAAGCTAAGGACCGATAAAAGTCACTTGAGTGCAGTTTCCGTCCCATCCAACATTACTAGCGATAGATCAACTTTCCATGGTGCCCAGAGTGATGCTAGTATAGATCGCACTGATTCCGTGAAAGCTCGGTCGAGGAAAAGCATAGTTACAGACATGCCAGATGAAATGGGTAAGCTTTTTTTCCGAGTGGTTGGCTTGAAGAATGTCAATGTTGGCGAAGTTAAGGACAGGAATGCTGAATTCACCATCACTTTGGATAATGGAATCCATTGTATCAAGACGCCTGACTACCAACTAGACGTGAGCAGAGTGATGATTGATAAGGAGTTCGAGCTATCTGTATCGGAGCTGTTGGAGTTCATCTTGACTCTCAAGGCTACGTATGCAAAGGCCAAGCCGACTTACAAAGAGATCAAGGAAAGAAAAGTGGTGAAGTCCAAGAACAAAATTGGAAGACTTTTTGGATCCAAAGAGATCATAACGACCACGAAATATGTGCCCCAGAACGGAGTGGATCCTTTGGACAGCCTATTTGCCACTGATGGCTCATTTGCTAGATGCTACGTGGATTTGGATCTGTACAAGAGCCAGATAACAGGGCAGGTGTGCACGTACAATCTCATCTGCTACAACGAATGGGCCACATACACTCACAACGGAGAGAAAATCGTGAAGCAACCTTATCCAATCGCTCAGCTTGAAGTGAAGATGCTCTACGTGCCTCGGAGAGAGAAATACGAGATCTTACCAACGAGCATCAAATCAGCGTACGAGAGCTTGCATGACTTGAGGAGCGAGATGTACATGGCCCTAGAGGGGTACTTGCATCAAGAAGGCGGAGATTGCGAAACGTGGAAGCGCCGGTGGTTCAAGCTCCAGGGCACGTCTTTGATAGCGCACAGTGAGTATTCCCACAAAACCAGAGCGAAAATCAATTTGGCCAAGGTGGCGGAGGTGATTTATGTCAACGAAGAGAACATTGGGCTTCCATCGTCCAGCTACAGGAATTTCAGTGACATCTTGTTGATGGGGAACTCGTTCAAAATCAGGTTCGCGAACGGCGAGACCATCGACTTCGGCGCGCCCTCAAAGACAGAGAAAGCTCTCTGGATCAGGACCATCCAGGAGATCGTGTACCGCAACAAGTTCCGGCGCCAGCCATGGGTCATGTTGATGCAGGAGAAGAATGGCGACAGGAGAAAACTGTTGGTGGAGAGTTGATGAGACCGCAGGCGCAGGTGCGCCGTACCACATGCATCACGACTCGAGCCGGCGTTTTGCAAGTCGCCTGTCAGGCAGCGTCTGGCTTGGGCTCGTGCCCCTCTACATACCAGCACTTGGTAATTGTCAATTATTTTGTTGCACCTAGGCACCCGTAGCCCACGGGACTGCACACAGCACAGCCGTGCTCTTCAGTCGCTCTGGAAAGTCTGGCTCGTCCCCATTGGCTCCACAAACTCATACTTGGGAACGCTTCCGCCAGCTCAGCACTTGCCATTCCGCTGCCTCGATAATTGTACGCTTTCCCCCCTTCCGTCTGCCAGAACGCCACAGAAAAAACACCGATTCTTGCACACAAGTCATGCCCAACTCCGACGACGAGGATGCCTATCTTTACCTGTCTGAAGACGACAGGCCTGCGGCCAAAAAACCACGTCTCGAGCTCCCCACGGGCCCGGCGGCCAGCCGCATGAAAACAGCCAGAAGCGCCGCGGGTGCAGAGAAGGGCAAGGCGCTGCCAGCAGCCGAGTCGAGGCCGCACAACGGTGATGAATTGGATGCAGATGAAGACGACGACGACGACGACGAAGAGTCTTCAGACGACGACGTTGAATTTGTCATCGGCGACTCTGCGCCACGCGCACCCGCAAACGCCACCACCACGGTCTCCACCACTTCTGGTGCTCTCAACGATGCCATTGGTGAGGTGAACGACGAAGACGATGATACGGACGAAAAGCCAGGTGCCCGCGGGGCCAGCAGCGCACGCAAAAAGACGATCCGCGTCAGCAAGGATGACGGCGGGGCCACCGTGGACATCAATTCCGTGGCAGAATACGAGGGCAAGCCGTTGACGCAGCTAGATCTCGATGAGATCAAGGAAAAGCCGTGGCGTGCGCCGGGCGCCGACATCAGCGACTACTTCAACTATGGCTTTGACGAGTTTACATGGACGGCATACTGCCACAAGCAAGACAAGCTCCGCGGCGAGTTCAACCCGCAGAAGGTCATGGCCAAGATGATGGGCGGGGTGTCTGGAGGAAAGGGCCAGATGCCGTTCCCGTTCCCTTTCATGCCCAACATGCCCAACATGCCCAACATGCCAAAAATGCCCAACATGCCAATGCCGCCCAACATGGCCATGCCGCCTAACATGGCGATGCCGCCCAACATGGCAGGCATGCCGATGCCCCCTGGAATGGGCAACGGGCCGCCAGGCTCCGGCTTCGGGCCCGGAAACCCGCCTGGCAGCGGGAACCTCCCGGGCGGGCCGTCGGGGAAGCAGGGGTCCAGACAGCAGGGCCACAGCAGGTACCAGAAGTAACGACGGGGAAGATTGCGCACACATACATAGATCGAAGATCCTATTTCACCAGCGTACGCGTTTGTTCGTATTGTGTATATATATACTCCCGAGACCTGCCTTCTCCACGTGACCGGAAACGCACTGGGCACGAGCGCACAGTGCTTCAGTCCGGCGTGAAACAAGACGGGCCAGTGCCTCGAGACGCATTCAAATATCGGGTGGCTTGAATGCAGAGCCGTCCTACTCCTCGTCCGACTCCTCGTCGGCCTCCTGCAACCACTTGACGAATGGCTTTCCGGCCTTGCGGACCTTCTTCGACACGTCCTTTGGAACGTACTTCTTCGACACCTTGGATCCCCACTCGATGATGGCCTCCTCACTTATTATTTCGCTGTCGTAGAGCCTGTGCAAGATCTTGGGCACCGCAGGAATCAACTCGGTCTTCTCCAAGCCCAAGAATCTCTCCAAGCCACCGAGGAAGGCCCTTTCGTAGTCCTCTCTTTCGTTGATCAACTTAACCAACAATCCCTGGTGGGCCTCCAATTGCTCAACAATGTCTTCGTCAAACAAAACTTGGGCCAAGACCAAGAGCACCTCGGGAGATTCCAAGAGCTCCAACTCGACAATCTTCTTGTAGATCTCAACGTCAGATGGCAAGTCGTCCTTGGAGTCGGAAGCTTGCTCCAAGACCCACTCACCAAACTCACTGACTTTGGTTTGCGAATCACTGAGGGAGATTCCTTCCAACTCCCTAGCTCTGGCCTCAATGGCCTCCTTCGACATGTCAACGGCCCAGTCTTCGTCCGCTACCTCGACGGTCTGACGTGACAAAGCAGCGGCTTCGGCATTGATTTTCTTGGTCAAAATGTCATCGTCGTCATCGCCTTGTCCCTGAGCATCGCCGCCTTCCGCGCTCTGGGCAATTTCGGAGATGGTCTTACCACCACCCACAACGTTAGCAGTGGCAGTGGCAGCCTTCTTTCCAGTAGATGCAGGGGGAGGGTTCTTCAAGATGTAGGACGACAACTTGTGTCTTGGGTCGACTTCTGTGATACTACCACAAGCCTTGCAGTCCTTCTGCAAGTTCCCTTTTCCCTTGATCTGGATTTGCGTCTCGGGGTTTTTGCAAGACCCACACAAAACGAACTTGTTGATGAAACCATCCAAGCAGTCCTGCAACTCAGATTGCATGTGAGAACCGTTGACCAAATAACGATCGTCGTCTTCCTTGAAAGTAGTTTGGGCACCCATTTCGTATCCGAAAAACTTCACCACATAAGGGGACGGTCTGCCCAAAGCTCTGGCAACTTCACTCAAGTTTGGGATGGCAGTCTTGATACCGTTACCTCTACCTTCCACCTTGGCCTGGATAGGAGGCATTTTGTAACGGTAGAAGGGATCGGTGTTGTCACGACAAATGTTGATGAACGACATGGTGGCGATGAATTTGGAGATAGTGTTCTTTTCAGCTTTTTCGTGGTTGGATTTTTTTTCGCTTCCCTCTTGCAAACGCGCATCCGTACCCCTGCGATATCTTCTCTGATCGGAGATTCTTTCGCCATCCCAAGCAATTCGCACCGCTGTAGAAGTGGAGTAGACTTGCCTAGATGGACGGGAAAGCGTCGGTCTTCAGAAGAACTATGCAACGGTTGGAGTGGGAGATGTAGCCCTTCACCCATTTCTTGTGGATCAAATTGGCCAAAATGCACTCCACCTCCTCTGTGGAAACAGAGTAGTTTTGCGTGGCTAGAGATTCCGGCGCAGCTAGGGACCCGTCGGTTTTCTGTGTGTGATTGGACGAGAACTCAATGGCTAGCTGTATGGCGCTGAGAGGCACGATGTGCGGCGACGGCGTTTTTAGCTCGGCAAAGAGGCGCACCGTGCGCTGTATCAAACGAAGGTAGCAGAGGGTCTTCAAGTGCACCGCCAAAAGGTAGATGTGGCGCTTCAAGAAAAACTTTTGGAACTTGCGGACGCAGTCGTCGAACTCCCGGAGATTGCCCGTTTGCACAGCACGGAACAAGCCCTGTGTGTAGACGAGGCCCACCTTCTTGAACGTATCGGACGTCGACGCAGGTAGCGTTGTGCGCGAGTTGTACAACTTCAAGGGCACGAGTAGAAGCAAGATTTTCTCTGCCTGGGCGGCGACTTTGGCCGGCGCTTTGTAGCACGAGAGGAACTGCATGGCAGTAAGGAGCTTTGCCTCGGCAAACGCAAACTCGGACTCGTCGAGCGAGAGAAGCGAGCTGAAGTAGAGGTACGTGACGATATGCCTGCGGTACTCCACGGGGCTGTTGACAATGGTGGGGAGCGCGAGGCCCGTGCCCGTGAGCGCCTTTTCCATGGACTTGGCCAACTCGAGCTTGTGCAACTTGAAGTAGATTTTGATGAGCACGGCCAAGAAGAAATGGATGCTGTTCTTCTTGGACACGGCAAGGTCGAGCGTCTTGTCCGTGAGGCAGATCTTGAATGACCGGTTGATGGTGGCGGCGATGAGCTCTAGCGACTCGGAGACGGCCGCTTTGGCCTCGTCGTCCTGGCGTGCCGACGACTGCTGAGCTCGCACCTGGAAGAGCGAGATCAACTCGTCGCTGCAGTTGATGAGCGCAGCGCAGATCCACTTCAGCTGCGTTTCTGCGGCGCGGTTCAACGCCACCACCAAGTCGTTGAGGTTGAATAAGGACGCGTGGATATCGCTGCTTATGTAGATGGACCGCATGGCCGTCAAGTAGCAGCGCACCACGGGCTGGAACTTCTCAGCCAAAGGGTAGAGGTCGATCTCGCTGGGCTCGCTGAACCTGGCCCTTTTGGGGCCCTCGCCATGGGCAGGGTTGATTGTGAGAAGCCGCTTGAGCTTGGCGCCGTTTTCCTGCGCCACGGCGCCGGAGAATTCCTGGATGTACTCGTATAGCGACATGCTGGGTAGATGGTACAAAGCGTCTGGGGGGAGATGGGGCAACGCGTTTGGGGTCGGAGAAGAGGGGGGTATGGGGAGGGGCCGATGCACTGGAGTCGGCCGTTTGCGTTTGCTGGGGGCACTGTGGATTTCCGAGCAGAGCCTTGACGTGGAACTGGCCGGAACGAGCGGATTTTGCGGCTCTAGGATCGACTGGGCTGCGGCAGACAAAGAAGAATGGGCGCACTGATGCCCAGGCATAACGCGCGCGGCGCGGGCGAAAAAAACACGGCCGCGGGAGCCGGACATGAGGGTTAATACAGCGAGGCCAGCTGGGAGGGTGGGCAAAGAGGGCCCGGGTTTTTTAGTGAGCGTACTCGCCTGCGGCCCGGACCGCCGGGTGTCGCTGTTGTTGTCTGTTATTTGGATGGTTTGGAATTCATTGCGGGCGTGATGCTGACAAGGCCGCGCGGGAATCCGCAGGGCCACTGGAGAATTTCGCAGGGCCTCTCGAAAAATCCGCAGGGCCACTCGAAAAATTCACAGGGCCACTGGAGAAATCCGCAGGGCCTCTCGAAAAATTCACAAGGCCTCTCGAAAAATCCGCAGGGCCTGTCAAAAGACAATGTCTGGCGACGCCTTCTTTTT